TGGTGTGACTTGTTCAAGGTATCGAAACATCAGAGGCACGGGTACGATTCGACATGTTCTACCTTTGTCCGTTGGCTGATAGAACCATCATTCCCAGATTTCTCACATAAGAACTGGCACACTCGACAAGACGGTACTTATCACGATGCATCATGGACAGCATGAGGAATCGCAGGCTGGCTCCAGATTCATGTCGGGTCAACCTTTTTGGCCCCACGAAACTGGTTTTTGTCGCCATCCATCGGCGGCATGGTATGGCAGGCACTATGTATCATTGCTGTAAATTCTGAACTCATTTCTTCCCAGGTGATAAGTCGACAAATTACCTTTTTTCTTTTTCCTCACCGACGCCTTGATGCAGCAGGACCACGCCGCAACTTCTTTGGTCATCTTTCACTGTGTAATTGCCTCAATATCTTCTTGGAGGTCTGCATTAGTTTCAACATTTATAACCACCCTCGCTAGGTGTCGTTTACCAACCCGGTTCAGATAGGCGATTTATCCCCCACGCTGCCCGTTCTCGCCCCTGCTACTGTCTGTGTCCCTTTACTTCTGCTCTCTCATTGAGCTTTATTACCGTGAGTCAGTCGGTGAATTAATTTCATATTTCATTCTGCAAATACTAATAATAAAGGAGTTTTTACTCGATCGCTTGGTGTGTCGATCGCTTGGTGTGGTGCACGCCAAGGCAAGCAGGAGCAAAAACTACATGGCTTGGGATATGTATACAAAAGGCATATGCGCCACACCCCTGGACGCTCGCCATCGGAGACAGGGGTCGCACTTGGTTAGGCTTCCCAGAAGTGGGTGCTGTTTGTGTCCATCAATTATCTGATTAAATTACAGCAATTCTTACACCTGTGTGGAATGAAATATGACAGGACCGTGTCCTTGAAGGGGCGGCCACGGAAGAACGACGACAGAGAGCGACTTGGGTAGGCAGAATGTCAGTGGACATGACTTTAGTCCAGGAGGATTCTGTCTGAATATTGCAAACAACACCAATTTATTCCAGCCTAGGACCCGATTTCTCTTGAGCGACCTGTGAGATCCTCATGGCGACCTTTGCTCCCTGGACTCTGAAAATGTGTCGTAGGCTTCGGTCGAGAACCGAGGCCGGACAGATGGATGGTGGAATGGCAGCAGCAATGGAGCTGCAGAGCTGCGACCTGACGTTGAGGCGTCGGGTGAGAGATATGGGAATGGAGGAAGGTGTGCATTTAACGCAGTCGCCTACTGTAGAGGATTGAGGAAGAGGGCCAGGGACAGAAGAAAGAAGAAGGGGTGCCAATTCCAGAGTGTCGAAGAGGGACTTCCCTAGCTTCTCCCAGCTGAGGTCTTCAGGGAGTTTCCGGTCAACCATGAATATTTGAATTGCAGGAGAGTCAGCGGGTCGGTATCGCGGGGTGCCAGAGTTGACTAGAATGTGTCCAGGGCTAGGCCATCGGAAGGTGGAGCATGGAGGAACGGCATGGAGCAGATGGACAAAATGATGGAGAGAGGAGAGTTGGTCAGCAAGTGCGCATGTCCGCGGAGATGAGTAGGGGGGCCGGAGCGTGGTTGAATGAAGGTAGGGTGTCGTCGGGACGCGTTGAGTTATACGGCTGGTATGCTGAGATAGCAGAGACCCAGACAGCTCTGTACTCACTCACTGCTCACAGGAGATGAGCAGCAAAGGGAAGAGCATGATCAAGCGCGACGAGAGGCTCCTGTCGGAGTTCAAATGCAAATAGCACCGGCACCGGTGACCACCGGACTGGGTCTCGATCAATTTGTTCCTCCTCATGGTTCGTCGACTACGAACGGCCTCTGGCCAGGACTGCTCCTCGAGCAAGGCAACGAAATGACATTCACGAGCATGCTCACTAGCTCTCCGTGTCACCTATCACATCTTGGATCCACCTCCTCATGCTCAGTCATGCTTGTCCCCATCCAACAAAGATCCAACTCAAGCTTCGCATTCTCCCGATCTCCCAAGTCTACCGCACAATCCATAGTCTCATTCACCTAGTCAATCGCCCCCTCTCTTCATCCCTGCTCCACCATGCACCCCATACCCAGACGACGACCCCATGGCAGGGAAGCAAGAAGAAAGCCGAAACTGAAGATTTGAACTCAGTCATAGACCTACGCCCATAACCCTGCCATTCTTTGTCCACCTGCTCAGCGTACCCTGATTCCGCGAGTACTCTATAGGAGGATCGAATCGGGGGATGAGAATTCTGCTCATAGGTACATCTGCTTCCATCAAACTTGCTTGTCTCTCATTGATTCCTTTACCAGACATCGCACAATGTTCAACCATTGCTCCTCAGAAACCTCAGCAATGGCAGCAGCCGACCTCAAAACTTCAACCTCGCTCACGACCTTGATGTTGGTTCCAGTCAATATTTGCAGTGGCGGATCCTCAATATTCAATATTGAACGTTGACATTGAAACATTGAATTCTTGTTTCTCAGCGTGCAGTATTCCGCTGAATTCCTATCTGCATATGTACCCGACGACCCTAGGAGGCTTCTTCAACACATAGAGGGCCACATATTCCCCTCCTCTCATACCTTTTTCACCCTCTTTCGATCTCGATCTCCTCCGCTATCTCTCCAAATCAAACCTCCTCCGCCTACACACTCCTCGGACGCATCACCGCCTTTTCCACACTCACTCTGGAACTCGATATCACAAAGGTCAAACTTGTCCTACAAAGGTTTCGTGGGTAGATGTTTGATTATGCCTCGAGGAGAGCCGAATGGGTCTTTCTCCGTATGTTATTTTCCATTTCCTCTACCTTATCTCCCCAATGCTGATATGTTGTGGCGCATGCAGCGAACCTTCTCCAATCATTATGAGGAGAGAAGCACGTTGATATGTCCAATATTCTCCACCTTCGGTTGCAGCCCAATCCATGTTCCTATATTTTCGTCACAACCGACGATGCCTCATCCAACATATGCTCTCGGTGTCGAACTTTCATCTCAGCTCCCAAGACGTAACAAAATCTCGGAAGCCAACATCCGCTGTTATGAAACGAATACAGCAGGCTTTAGGGCGCTCATCCATTTTCTTCCCTCCGGCGCTCACTGCTTTCCTTCCAGCCGATCATCCGTCAATCTTGCCTGGGCCCCGGACCTCACCGTCGACCGAGTGCCTAATTGTCAAGCTCATTTCTCACCGCAAGCCTCAGCAACAATCGTGCTCGGATATGAACCTTCTACCGTCTCTCAGCTTGTGATGAGAACCAACGAAGCATCGATACTGGCTGATGGCCAATCTTCTAACCTGGAAAACCAGCGCAGATGTTTGCTGGCCATTCAACTTCAAATGCCCTGAAACCAGGTCTCCAACCCCTCCAACCCCTCCCAGTGTCTGCGCTATGACATAGTGACAACCAGGCCGTACCAATATCAGGACCAACAATCCCCACCATTGCCTGCTGCGGAATTTCGAGGGCCTCCAGTACCGCATCCAATGTCCTACAAATGGTCATTTTATGTACTGGTAAGATATCGTCCTTTTCTTCCGCAATATTACCCTTCACACTGCAGTTCCAGGTTTCTCTCATCAAATTCGAATTCGCTACCCGACCATTGTAACCTGAGATGGAGTTCAATGACTAGTCTCCTTCATTGCATTGTAGCGAGTTATGTATGATCGCGATGAGCGGCCACCCTCGAGGAGGGAAGACTTGTAGGGCTGAACACAGTAGCTTGTTCCCTGCCTTCCAATGTAACAATTTTCATGGGAGATTGTTCAAAGACTCAATTGCACAGGTTCAGTTTACATCATGTTCACCTCTCAATAGGCAATCCACAATTCCCACGTATAAGGTTTGAGGCGCTGCATAGAACCCCACCAGCTCATAGCCCTCGCGAAGATGACTGGACACTTTTTGTCCAAAATTAGATACGACATGAGGAATGGGTGAAGGCAGCACACCTCTTAAGTCCGAATATGTTGACGCTGACCAGTGCTGACTGTTAACGGCGACCTGTTCACACAACCCTCTGTGTCTCTTCACCCACCTTGTCAAGACCCCAATCTCTTGTGAAACGCTACAGTAAGTAGCACCTTTCCTGAGTTCTTCATGTCCAAGATACGAAGCATTTACCTAGGCCTCCCAAGATGCTCAGCACTTTCACATTCGCGAATATGGAGTTGCTCATGAACAGTCAGAACATGTCATTCCACGGAAGTACACTCACCATGATCCAGAACCAAGGTCCTTCTTGTGAGTCGATACCAGCTACAAGTGCGATTTAGTGGCTGAGGACAGTTCAGTGGCATTTGAGAGGCTTCACAACAACATTGGAGTGTGGTCAATTTCTTTCAGCCACTAATTTACTTGTTACAGGACCACCTTCCAGACACAAAGTCAAAGAGCCGGAATCGGAAGCTCTGTGATAAAGGAGTCCAATGTTGTAGGGAATTGATGTGGTCTAACGATGTGGCTTTTTGGTCAACTCTGGGAACTCCACCAGACCTTCCTTCCCCACCTCCTTCCCCACTAAAGTCTTCTTTATTCCTTTATTTATATTCATTCCTCCCACACCGCTTCTTTGAGCACTCAATGAGCCACCATAAGGACATGGGCCTTTAGTATCTCCTTCCACACAGGTGCAATAATTACTGTAATTTACAGCTGTTTCAGAAAACCTTGTCCATCACAACTTTTTTTTTTTGAGCCACAAGACATCATGTGAGCCTGGGGAGCTTTTGTGGGAGCCATCAACACTACCGTATTTAGACATCTTTGAGCATGCTTTAGTCCTTGAAGACGAGGGGTGATACATTATTCACTATGTGAAGGTGGTGTGAGTAGTTGTATTGTATAAAGGTGTGGGTACGCAAGCGTGGGTGGGCGAAAGCCCTGGGGCTTTCCAGCCCGCTGGATGTCCCGATCCTGGAGAAAGAGATGAGCTGCGATTCCCATGTGAGTAGGAGCCTTGCGACACGTCGAGCGAGTCTCAGATACCCAGGATGTAGGAGCAGGGAGGAAACTCACTTATGTGTGGCGTAGGTGGGGCATTGTGAGCCGTGTTATTTTGCTGTGCAGTTCGGGCCATGCTTGCATATAGGGGGCCAGGATCTGGGCGTGTTTCGTGAGGTATATCAGGAAAGCGTCGCTTGCCCATTGTCCTTTGACCTTCACGACTTCAAATGGTATTCCACATAGTAGGTACTCCAGTGTTGATCCGATTCGGATTCCATGGCCTTGGCGTGGTTCGAGGCCCACGGATTTTGCAGCTGTTGCTAACACTTTGAGGAATGCGGGCTTCGTCATTGGTCTGTGTCCGTTTTTGTACTTGTAGGCGAACAGTGCACTGTTCGGTGGTGGCATGTTTATCTCCAGATGGTACTGGAGAGTGACCTCAGGATCAGTAGGGCTGTTCTGCCTTGACCATGAGACATCCTCTCCATGGATTGATGCCTTTGTCCTTGGGATATGGAATACAGTGGAATGGAGCCCGTTATGGTCCGTCTCTGTGTGATGTGGGTACTGCTTAGTTCGATGTGCAGCGTCTCATGTATTGTGTGCTCACCATGTTTTATGTCTGATGGTTTGACGTGGAGCGCTGCGTTGAAGGATTTCAGGTTGGGGATAACAAATTCACCCAAACGGGCCGCAGCGTAAAATGTTGTGGTGAGGCATGCGTAAACTGTGCTGTCAAAAGGCTTTGACAGGTCGAGTTGGCCTTTGATGGCTGTAATGAAGTCCAGGGTGTACGGCACTCTTTTCTTGCGCTTTGAAGATGCTGGTGCTGCCTTTTCAGCACCTTTGAGGAGGGCCTCCATCTCTGGTTCATTCATCTCCCATGGGATGCCATGTAAGATATGCCAGGCACATACTCCATAGAAGTAGTTGCGAATGGTGCTTCCAGAGTATGCGCCCGCAAGCATTGAAACAAATGACACGGCTAACACCAGGCTCATCAGAGCGCGTTGCTCTTCATCAATGCCTTTGTCATCGCAATAAACATGGTAGATGAGCAGGCCAGAGCTGTAGGTTTCAAGGGTGCTCCTCTCCCAGGAGCCAGTGAGGATATCCATGATCCTTGCAAGATTGGCTGGTGTGAGGTTCGTGGGATTTCCTTGGGCATCAAGTGTGGTCCGCGCTGATGTGGGTCGCCAGAGCTGTAGCCTCTGTCATGCAAATACGTGTGGTCGCAGTGGCGATGGCAGCGGACATAGAGGGAGGGGGTATGGGGCAGGTCTTATTGTGCGCTTTGATGGCCTGGAAGACCGAGTGACAGATGGTGTTGGATGTGGGGATTCACCATCGTTGGGCCTGCGCAAAGAGTTCCTCTGCTCGGCGATCAAGTTCCCCTTTGATCTGGGCTTGTTCTTGGAGGTTGGGAAGGTAAAGAGGTTTTGGAAGGGGTTTTGGGGTCTTTCCTTCTCTTGCTCTTCGTGTTTCCTCTGCGGTTGGTGGAGTGTCGAAGTCCACAACAAAATTTCGGAGGTCACATGGAATTCTGACTGGTGGGAGGAGGTGTGACATAGGTCCGTAGATGCCTCGAGATGGGCCATCAGCTGGGTTGTACTCGCTGGCAACGTAGCGGGTGTAGAATGTGGTTCCATGGTGCTTGTTTGTGGAATGTATTTGTTTGAAGATTTCATTGGTGGGTGTGTTTCGGCTACGCCCTTTCCACCATCCTTCGACAACACCTTGGTTGTCTCCATAGACCCGATGGTGAGTTTCTCCATCATTTTCGCCCACAAGTGCGAGGATGAGGAAGAAAAATCCGATGGCTTCAGCCCATCCAATGTCTCGGCCTTCTTGTTTCCATCCTGGTAGAAGGCACCATGCACGCCATCGCTCTCCGATGACAATGCCAATGCCGATTTCTGAGCTCGTGTCTGAGTAAGCAGCAGTATCGAGGACCAGATGGGGTTCTGGGATGAATCGAGAGAGTTCGGGTCGGCTGAGGGTCTGCTTCCACCAGAAAAGATCTTGTGAAGTGCTTTGGGGGGCGGCACGTGGCATGAAAGGATTGTCAGTGAAGAGAGCGGTGAATTTTTCCAGGGTTGTGAGGTAGGCCTGTCCCATTGGAACAACTTGGCATGCATGAAGTAGCTTCCCATATAGTTTCTGGACCTCCTTAAGGTCGTGCGTTCACTCCTTTTCCCAATTGAAGATCGCATTGAGGTACTTGGCCTTCTTTGGGGGTGGGATCGAGACTGTTCGCAGTGTGAGGTTCCACAGAAAACCAATGTATGGCACTTATTCGCTGAATGGAATGTCTTTGTCAGTTTCCCAGGGGATTCCGAGCTCATCAGAGAGGTCATTGATGTCAGACATGGAGTAATTATACTGTTGTTCCTCTTCTGACCTGGGGGTACATTTGGATGAGTCATGGAGAGGGGCAGAATGGTCTTCATCAAATTCCTCATGTCTATCATTCGGCATGAGCCCACCTTTGAACCAGAGGCAACCTCCATCCTGAAGCTGTCCTCCGTTTGCCTCGATTCTGAGGGCTGTTTCCCAGCGTTGCTCATTGACCTTCTGTAAGTACTTCCGAAGAATCCTTGCATAAAAATGATCATCAACCCATTTGGATAATGGACCAATGCCCCATTCTCGCATGAGCTGAGCCCCAGCATCACTGATAATACCATAGCATCCTCCACTTGATGCGAGCCCAAAACAATTCCGTGTGTCAATTGCAAAAGAGTCATCTTTGTCCAGGTGGACAACAAGGCCAGCCCATTGAGAAGGATGTAATGGAATGGTCCGATATGCCTCCTTGACATCTCGTACGGCTGCCTGCGACCCTGGAGGTAGCTGCCAAATAAGAAGAGAGATGACGGAGAAGGTGCCCCATGTGCAGGGGTAATGATTGGAGTCGATTGTACTATTAATGGAGTATATTTGATTATGAGGAACATGGGGATATGATAGGTTTTGAATGAGGTGAAACTTCCCAGGCTTCCCAGGTTTAGGTATGATACTGAAGGGCGAAGTTTGAAAAGGTCCAACAAGATTTTCAACCTCTGACCGTGAGAGGGGTCCAATGTATCTGCTTTGTTTGAACTCAGTCTCAATGATGTGCTTGAACTCAGAAAGATATTCTGATGTTGAGGAATTATTTGGAGGTATAAATGTTTGATGAATCGGCCTGATCCCAGCATCGAATCCGAGTTGAAGCTGATCCGGAAGGTGTGGGTAATGCTTGAGCAAGCCAGCCTGCTCGAGGAGTTGCTTCCATGCTGCTGGCTTGTAGGGAGAACCTGCATTAAGCTTTGTCCGCTCGAGGACATCGCTGAGCTCCATGATCAGTCTTCCCACATCCTGAGCACTCGTGCTTCGAGTTGTGTGAGGTGCTGAAGCAGCCAGCTGGCTTCTGCCAATCGGAACAGAGGGTGACACCCTTTGGATTGACAAGGCGGCCAACGCTGTTCTTGGAACAGTATGACGGGGTGACTTTGTCCCAGAGAGATGACAATCGGCATGACGCGACACTGTGGGGATGACGGCCGAGGCAGATGGTGCAGGCTGAGTAGATCATTGGACTCGAGGCTGCACCTGATTGAAAAACCTGGCTGCTATATTTCCCGCTGCGTGCTCGCTTGGCCTCTCTGGTCGGTAGCTCTGTTGTGAGCGCCTTTAAAGGCGGGGGTGGTGGTGATTCAGACCTCTTTCGTTTATTGGGGTTGCTCGAGTTTTGAGACAATGTGTAGCTCCAGGTACATGCTGATCCTGTGTTGTTGACCTGCAATCTGTTTGACATGGCAGTCGGACGCGACATGTGGTATAATGCGGTGTTATATTGTGAAGTCATAGCCATGTTTGTGGTACAACATGTGCAGCAGTATGTATGGCCGTCACATGGCATTCGTTGCAAGGCGTACAGGGCACAGGGCGCATAGCATTCATCACATAGCAGGAGGGAATTGTATTTGTATCGAGGGCATCGCATGTCACGGCATGGGAAGGTGGTCATGTAGTACATGGAATAGCATTGCATGGCACATCACGGAGATTTTTATATTTTGTTTTTATATGTTGGTATGAGTGAATGATGAAAGAGAATGTTAGCGCATTGTCTCTATTGGTTATGAAGAGGGTACTGACCGTAGCTGCACTGTCAACCTTCAGTTTTCTTCTCTAGTCAACCTTGTATCAATCCTATCGATGAGGTCGTCATTGATAATACTGATGTCGAAGGCTGGCTTGCCGCTGGGGTCCTTAAGCTCGCGATGCCAGTCTCGTCAGACCTGACATTGGTATTCGAGGATAACCTGTTCACCACCGTCTCCTTGTTGGAGTCGTGCATGATTCTCCAGCTGCACATAGAACGACACGAGGGCCGTAGTGTACTTGACGTCCCACCCTGCCTCCGTCATGCAGGCCAGTAGGTTTGTCTTTGCACGGGTCATCTTGGTCCAGGTTAGCTTGTTATCAGGGATGGCCTTTGCTGACACTGTGTAGGCTCCGATGGGTCTGAATGCCGCAACGTTAGTGGTGTTTGATGACAGTGCAAGGGCGCCGTCGGCGACTGTGTGGTCGTGCAGTGATGCCTCTCTGCAGCTTTCACTGGTGAAATAGCATAGCTTGACATACTCATGGTCTTCGAGTTTCTTCATCGCATAGCGTGACAGTTGGTCCTTGATGACGGTATCGACTCTCTTTCAGGGGCTGAGCATGTTAAGTTTGGGTATCTTCTTCTCCCTCTCTTTCTGCTCTTCTCTCTTCTCATTCTCCTTGCGCAGTTGCTCCTGCTCCTGCTCCTCCTCTCATGCTGCGTGGAGGGCTGTCTCTGCGTCATGGTCGTCCTGTAGCTGCTGCTCCCATCTCTCCTTTTTGCAGTCATTCTCTGTGTTCCATGCGGCCTGGAGATTGGCAGCTGCCTCTGCGGAGGTGATGCCTTGAGCCACAGCTAGAGCTTCACAAGTGGGGGCGTATGTCTCCGACGTGAAATCGGGGGCTTCAATCAGGCTGGGATCAATAGTAATTCTCGGCATTTGATGAACGGATGTATCAGTCCTGGGTGGATAAATGATAGGGAGGAAGTAAAGAGAGTAGAGCAAGTTGTGGAAGCAAAGAAGAACAGGAGCGTTGGGAGGCTGGACAGCACGGAGTGCTGGCAGTCATGGTCTTGAGTCAAGAGCAGATGCTACATCAGGAAATTGGCACGGTCCTTGTTTGCGCTTGCAGGTATCACAATCACAAACAAGCAAAGTCTCAGTTTGTAATGGGCTCATGTTAACAATGAAACCTTTGTCAGTAACTCATCACAATACAACAACAGTTCCTCGTCCTTGTCTCAATTCACCAAGGTTTCAAGTGTCTCACGCTCCCTCCACAAGGATTTCGAGAACACGATGGGGCTGCGACAATCCTTCTGTGGTGGCAGTGCCATTGTCAATATGCTGCCTGGCCTGGGGCCAGTGAGTGACCCAGACTTGGACTCTGTGCTGCTTCTCCACCTACAGATGTCACGGTGGGCGATGCGTCTACCCCGTTCTCTCTAGCCTAGGATGGCTTTTTGGTCATGGATCCCAATCATCTGACTTGCTGATGCGGTAAAAGATGTTCAAATGAAGGCTCGCTCCTCAAGCACCAAGAGGCATGCGTCACTTACCTTTCAGTAGTCAAAAGTATCACAAAACTTAACCGGGAGAACGTGAGAGGGAAGAAGAGGTGTCGAAAGGCCAATGATATGGCACGACACGATTTGAATCGGACTCCATACACAGAGTATGGGTTCCCGCTTACCATGGTGAGTCGCAGCCTTGGTACTTGTCAAGCATTTTCATTCAGATACAAACCCAACAGGCTGCTGTCCCCACAATTCAGACATCTTCCAACTTGTCCTCATTGTTTGCTGATGGCAATGCTGAGATGGCCCAAGGTGATCTGGTGCACGAAGCACCTCGACCTCCGTCTCCTGTCTGTGCAGACCAGAATGGACACCCAATACGGACAAATCGTGGTGTCCTACCGAGTCGATATGTCGATTACCTTCTGGAGGGTGCTACTCCCTTCCTCGACGAGCTGCCCCTCCCAAGCTCCCCAGTTCTGGATAACCATGGATTACCACCTACGCCAGACCCTTGGCTCTGGCGAGTCTGCACCAAACCAAACACCTTTGGCCTCCTGCGTGAATATCTGGGTGAGCTCCCACTGCGGGATCCTGATGACAAAATTCCCCTGGATGACCTCCTTGCATTCTCAGGAGGCTCGACGTCCAGTAATGAATTGCCAACTCCTGCCGGCAACCCTTATGCACCATACCCCAATCGTAATGCATTTAGAATTGGAGAATGGTACTGGACGCAACCTCAGAAGTCGCAGTCGGATTTTTGCAGCCTTGTGCATATTCTAACATCAGAAGGTTTCAACAGTCACAACCTGGTTGGGGTGAATTGGCAAAAAATTGATCGCATTACCGGCAGTAGCTCCACAGAGGAATTTGATACCTCGGATGGATGGCGCACCACTACAGTCAACATTCAGCTTCTGGCAGCGAAAAGGGGCACCCCATCTTACACCTTCCCCATTCCTCAAGTCTTCCACAAATCACTGTCCGCGATTATCAAGAACACCTTTGAATCGCCAAGATCTCTGAAATACCATTATGCTCCACATCATCTTATATGGCAACCCAACTCTTCAACACCTGGCGAGAAAGTCTTCAGAGAGCTATACAATTCCCTGGCCTTTATTGATGCTCATCTTGAACTACAGAAGTCAAGTCCCAACCCTGAATGCTCCCTACCACGGAACATTGCTGCTCTCATGCTCTGGTCTGACTCAACACACCTTACAGACTTTGGCACTGCCTCCTTGTGGCCTATTTACCTGCAATTCAGTAATGAGTCAAAGTATTCACGTGGTCGGCCGTCCTCCAAGTTGTTCATCCACCTCACCTACATTCCTACCATGTGTTTTTCTCCCTTTCGTGCCGGTCCGAGGCTGATTATGAGGTACGTTATAGATCCCTGCATCTCTTGCCGAATTCCTGCGTGAAAAGGGCAAGAAATTACCCTCCGACCCCCTGAAGACGCACTGTAAACGAGAGCTTGTCCATGCAATTTGGAAATTGCTTCTTGATGATGATTTTCGGCATGTGTATCTCTATGGCATTATTGTCAATTGCAGTGATGGCATTCGCTGCTGTCTCTTTCCGCAGCTCTTCACATATTCAGCTGATTACCCAGAGAAGTAAGTCCCTTCTTGCATTCATTAAAGACTTGTCAGATTAATTTGACAAACTTCAAGGGTCATCCTGGCAACGATTCGAGATATGGGCCAATGCCCTTGTCCGAGGTGCTTCATCCTGAAGGCCAAGATCCCTGCCATGGGAACTGCTGCGGACTTAGCTCAAAGGTTAGATGGTGCCCGTGTTGACAATGCTACTCTTTGAAAGACAATTGCGTCGGCGCGGAAGTTCATATACCAGGAGGGAAAGGTCGTCAATAGCACTCGCGTTGAAGAGCTTCTCAAGCTGCAGTCATTAGTACCCACAGAAGTGAGTGCTGATTTTTTTCTGGTGCAGATGGAGACTGAGTCACCTCAAAGAATGCATTCTCTGCACGTCTTGGTGATCTCGGCCTCCAATACCACAAGATGTTTGTTCCTGATGCTCTTCATGAGTGGTCATTGGGTGTCATAAAGCAATCCGTCATTCATTTATTGCAAATTCTTCAGGCTCACAACAAGACTGCCCACATCAAAACTGCAATTGTGGAATTTGATGCTTGGTAAGTGTTGGCTCATGATATCATATCCTCATTCCGAGTCTCATTTCCCTCTAGTTTCAACCAGGTTACCCCTTTCAGGCAAGACACTATTCAATACTTCGGCCAAAATGTATCAGAATTGAAGAAGTTTGCTGCTCGGAATTACGACAACGTTCTCCAGGTGAGCCACCACAATCTGTTAAGTTACCATGTTCTGATTAGCACATCACTAATTTAGTGCATTATCCCTGCTATGGAAGGCCTCCTTCCTGAACCTCACAATACACTCATTCAAGATTGGTTATTTCTAATGGCATATGCACATGCCCTGTCCAAACTTCAGATGCATACGGAATCAACACGTCAGTTGCTGCACACCATCACCATCGAGTTTGGTAAAATGACGCGCAAGTTCAAACGGGTAACCTGTGCTGCATATCACACAACTGAGCTTCCCAAAGAAACTGCAGCACGCCTTTGACGACAGGCTTGCCAATCAGTCCAAATTCAAGTTGGGGCCAACATTGAGCCAGGAATCAATTCTGAAGCGACCAGCCACATCTTGAGCAGTACAGTCACCTCAGCCTACAAACCTATAAATTTCATTTGGTTGGTGGTGATTATGCCCAAGCAATTGCAGAATATGGAACAACTGACTCGTATAGCACCCAAATGGTACGCTGATTTGTCTACCTCATATTCTGTGTGCTAATCTGAAATTAGGGAGAGGTCGAGCATCGCCGATCGAAAAGCGGGCGTTTCGATCAAACTAGCAAGAAGAAATATGAAGAACAACTGGCCAGCATGGATGTGTGTGACCAATGCCTCACACAGATTGCCTATACAGAGGGGCTCCACAAGGCTGCAGCAAATTCCCTTCAACACAAAGACTCCGAGCAAGATGCCACCGAGGACCTAAGCATCCACCATGTTATTGGAGCAAGCCAGAAGATGTATGTCCATGTCAGACCATGGCTTCGTGAACGCACTCATGATCATGCTGTAAAGGTCGGAAAGTTGCATTACGTTCTTCCCGATTTGCTTACTCAAATTTAAATGATAGGATTTTTTGCCAAGGCTCAAGGATCATCTCCTCGCCCGCATTGATCAACGCCCGCATGGTGGCGACCAGCTTGTCTACTCCGACACAGAGCATGAAAACCTGGAAATCAAGCATGACCGAATGTATACACACCAAACATGTCGGATCAACTACACAACTTATGATGTGCGACGTGATCAAGATCTTGTCAAGGCGTCAGGCCCTCGTCAAGATATTATGGTTCCAGTGGGCTCTTCAGGCAATGAATACTCATACACCCGCATTCTCAGCATCTTTCATGTGAATGTTATTGATCTTTGTCTGCCTGCAGGGTCTAAATTACCAGCTGAAAGGCTGGAATTTCTCTTTGTGCGCTGGTTTGGCAAAGAACCTGGCTGGGATTCTGGTTTCACAAAGCGCCGTCTACCTCGCATTGGGTTTGTCCATGAAAGTGAACCAAATGTGTTCAGTTTCGTTGACCCATCAAACGTGATCCATGCTGTCCATCTAATACCAGTGTTTGTTGATGGGCACATTAGCTCACTCTTGACATATTCGCGACTGGCTCAGGAAGAGGATCAGGACGATTGGCATGCATTCTACGTGAATTGGTAAGTGATTGCCTTATCCTACTCGTGGTGTGTGTTCTAATCTTGTGTCATCAGGTTTGCAGACAGGGATCTGCTTATGCGCTTTGTTGGTGGTGGGGTTGGTCACCATGGCTCCAACAGTGTGAAGAGCACATCATTCCCTCCAATTGAGATTGAGCAGCCTGAGGATGTGGAATCAGGCAGCCGTGGGGAGGGTACACAAAGTGGGCCAGAGATCGGGTCAGATGATGAAGAAGGCGACGCCGACGCACTAGGTGACTTATAAATTTCATGCCAGAAGTCTCTCGAAAAAATCTATCTTCCATTTTGTACACATAATTATGGTTCATTAGATGAACTATGATGAAACTCTTCAGCCATCTGGTATGCGAGCTCTCATTGTTCACAAAGAAGGTAGTAATACAAACTTCAGACAGCGTCAACATGGCTGCTTACAGACATGAACCGACATGTGCATTCTCCACCGTTGTTGGGTGTCAAAAGCGGTGCTGGACTCTCGAGACAAACTGGGCATGAGTGAGAGAAGGAGTGAGATGAGGGAGTTGCAGGTGCAACAGGACCTTGGGAGTTGAGTGGGAGTTGCTAAGTAAGGAGTGAAAATGAGAGACAAAGAGACAGTAAAGGTGTTGGACTTGCCTGCTCAGATTCAGGGATGTCGCCTATGAAAGAAATTGTAACTGCCGTGAGGATGCCACGTTCTGAGGCCGGCGGACTGACACCATTCACACTGACATCTGCAATAGGGAGTGCCTACTCAGTGCAAATCAGCGAGGTATCCTGAGAATTAGTATTCATGAGTACCAGAGAGACGTTGCTATCAGAGTCAGGTGCTATTTCATGGTTATACTCGCGACCTTGATAGGATGCCAACCGTATGGGGTCTGCAAGCAATTCTTGAATCTTGGTGGACGTTGAGGCAGCAAGACGAGCCATGGCATCAGGCCAGGGTTGGGAACGAATAATGCATGAGGCCTTGATCAACATTGAGCAATAAGATTCAAATAGTGATGAATCAAACTCACAAAGCATTCCGCTGCCTGTGTGTCGGACTCGGTCACGCTTTCTGAATCCCGGGTATTTGCACCATCGACAGCATCATGATCCACTGCTGGTGAAATGGGACCAGAATTGTGTTGTTCGTTGTCGGTGTGAGTCGCATCAGAAGAAGGACAAGTCTGAGTGAGGCAGGAAGACATGGTGTTGGAAGGGCTGAAGAGGCACCATTTTGCTTACTGGACGCTGTGTATTAAGACGTTGAAACAAACATTGAAGTCCATTGATGAGACATGCATTGTCGCTCCATATTTGGTCATGTTGATTCTTCTTGGCTCAGGTTCAACACGACACGCAACTGAGGTTTGAAACCAACCAACATTCATCTTGCAGCACTCCTCCACACCTTTACTTTTTTGATATCTGTTTAATGGCCTCACACATGAAAACAATACGCAAGTATATATTTGGGCTCCCTATCCTCTCGTTCCAGCAGCAAGACATTTCCCTTCACCACCATGTCCTCCATTGCCACTCCCTCATCACCTCTTTCCCAGGCTTCATTCAGCATTACCTCCAGTGTTCCCAAGTGTTCACTTCCTGACGTCGAACTCACTACCACTGGGTGGAATAAGAAGTCCAAAAGTGACCCCATCAACCGAATTGCGGGGCACTTCATTTGAACTGTTGACATATTCCACAACCCATCCTCCGTGATTCTCAAAGGCTCTATCTGTGAATCTGAGGGAGGAGATGACTCTGAGTATACCTACAAGTAAGTTCCCTTACATCAACTTTAATCCTGCTAATGTTATTCCTTCCAGGGAGAACCGATTCTGGCATGCCTGGCAAGAGCTAACCCAGATGGTCCCCTCAATTGACATCATTATTCAAGACCGGAAGCAGATGATGGATCTTGGGAAAAAGGTGTGCCTTCAAATCAACTCTCTATTCTATCCCTATGATAAATCTCTCTTTCACTTCTAGATCAAGGCAGCAGCTGGGACCGCCAAATCAAATGACAGTCATCACATCTCAAAGGCAATTCCTGTCTGGTGGAGGAAGCTTCACCCAGACTCTGTGCCAATTCCTGACAACAAAGTCAAACGTGGGTTCAAGAATCCAGTTACCAGCCATCTTCTTTGCCCTGCTGTTCTGGACTGGGATGATCCCAAGTACGTTTTCTTCTCATCATCAGCAACATCTCTCCCATTTCTACCCCAGCATTCAGTCTGCTTTGTGTAACCGCATTGCGACAATCCCTGGGCCTGATGGACCTGAAGCAGTCAGCGGCGTGAACTGGCCCAACTTCCTGTATGATGGGCCATATGACCCGAAGACGCCATGGGTGGGATTACTTCGCAGTCATCTCCTCGTAATGGTGCGTCTTCTATATTTGGTCTTGTGTCATTTCAGTAACACTTTGGTCAGGCATACATGCACGTTTTCATTGCCCCATCGTCTGTGGCCACCCATGATGCTGAGGACTCTTCCTCACAGAGCACTCGTTCTGGCAACGCTCACAACAATGGCATGACTTCTGTCAATGCAGCATTGCTCACATACGTTGCTGCTCAGGTATACTGCGCTCTTCTTTCTTTGATTGGATTACCGATGAGCCATTTAGGTCTACTTTGCCCTCTCAGACGAGGGTGCCTTTCACAAGAGCAACAAGAAACTTGATGCAGTAACTTTCTACGAGTCATTGGTGATGTACCTAGAAGACCCCGACAATGAGAAGGACAACAAAGAGCTTTTTGACCATTGGAACCGGTCAGTCGTTGTCAGCTTTCCCCAGCTCTATGAGTATCTATTAACCATTTTTTCATTTAGCCTGATCTTCCCAGAGTCCATTACCCCTGTTGCCCGTGGTAAGAATACTTCAAACGCCCAGATCAAGGCAGCCCGTCTCGCTCTTCAGCATGAAGCGGACGGTTTCTAATATGCGCGAATGCCTTTTGTATGCCCAGTACTAGTAGATCTCAAATTCTCAATGCAACGTCTTCCCCTGTTCTTAATGTGTGACATACATTATATCATATCTACAAGTCCTATTATCATAAGAGTCGTCAGAATTACCTTCAAGAGTTTGTGACTGATAGATATCCTTGCCTCAAGCCACAATCCTTATGCTGTACTCATTGTCTCTGATTTGCTTCATCATGCTTACTAACCTTATATGCATTGTCAACTTCGTTATCTGTAGTCGGCGTTATAAGGTCTTGCAATGTAGTCTGTTAGGTTTGTACTTATTTCAAACATAATAGTGATTATAATGCCCCACAATGACCTTACAAGGTTCCAGCCAATTTCCCGATGTAGCTACGAGAGACTGCCAGCGGGCACAAAGACCAGACCCTAACCCTACAATTGTACCTCATTACGTCTCAGGTCATCAAACAGAGATTCAAGCTGGCCATTTGAGCATCTACGGGACGTCCTGGCACTTGAAATCTGGGCGCGTTATAGCTGAGGAGCTCTTCTGAGAGCATGTGCCAAATTTGAGGTGAAACAGTATATTTTTGGGTCCAAGCGTGCCACCCAACCTCTTCCTCAGGCGCGGAAACACGCTGTGGGAAGTTCAGGCTCCGAACGCCCACGGGACGAGCCCCACCAGGTAGACGCAACATTGGGCATTGACAATAACCCTATCTGTAAAGTTTAAATGACGATATTTGGGCCAGGAGGCAGGGAATCGCTCAACAATGCTCGCGCGGCTCACGGAGCTCGTCATTGATGCGTAGCCCAAAATGGCAGCCATCAGCACATGACCGGTCGCAGCCCAAAAAAATAAAAAAAGTGATGGACAAGGTTTTCCGAAACAGCTGTAATCAGACACGAAGGGCGCCGAAATTTGGAGTGTGACCCTTTGTAGATTCAGCATCCGCGAAGCCTAACTAAGTGCGACCCCTGTCTCCGACGATCAACGTCCACCCGTGTGGCGCATATTCCTTTTGTATACACCAGCCATGTGGTTTTGCTTTCGCTCGTCTCGGCGTGCGCCACACCAAGCGATCGACTAACTCCTTTGAGATAAAGAATTATTAATATTCGTGGCGCGGGGTGCAAAAGAGGATTTTCGACCGACTCACGGTTTACTGTTAGACAGAGCTCGACGGGAGTGCAGAAGGAAATAAACACAGTAGACACGAGAAAGCCCGCCTGGGAGGGGTACATCGCCTATCCGAATCAGGTTCGGAGGTGAGGGTGTCTAGAAACGTTGAGTTAATTTGGACCTCCGAGAAGATATTGAGGCGATCATGCGGCGAAAGATGACAGAGAAATTCACAGCGCGATCCTCCTGCGGCATCGGCGAGGAAAATGCAAAGAAAGGAATGTGTCGACTTATCACCTGGGAAGAAATGAGTTCAGAATTTACGGCGATGATACGTAGTGCACACCATACCGTGCCGATCAAACGAGCTATAGGTCATGGCCGACGGATGGTAGCGAAAACCAGTTTCATGGGCCCGAAGAGGTTGAACCAACACGAATCTGGAGCCGGCCTGCCCTTCCTTCCGCCGTTAATCGTGCTTCGCGATAAGTATTGTCTTTGCCGAATTTCCAAGCCTACGTCCGCGAGTTCTGGGAAGAATGGATTCATGAACTGACAGACAAAGGTAGAATATGGTAAATCGTACCTGCGCCTCCGACGCTTCGACGTCTCGAAGTCATACAACGTTTCGCACCTCCGTCATCCTCATGCCCCAGCCTGCTATCTCTCACTACGTACGGCGCGAGCATCTTGTCCTGATATCTAGCATGCTCCCCGCCCCGTCTACGCGAAGCCATGATCTCGGAAGCGGAATGAGGACTTTTCGCAACTGCAGGTTGGCCGCGAGGATGAGGGGTCGTGTTGACGCTTGGATGCATGCGAGCTAGACGTACACAGTTAGTAGCGCAGAACGAGGGAGGGGCGGCAACGATGGAGAAGGAGGAACGCGGAAGCTAGGGGATAGAAGACGCAGGTGGTCGGAATGATGACGCGTCCAAATGGCACGGAGTGCTGAGAGAAAACGAAGGATGGTGGGGCGATATTCCTCTTCGGCGTGCAGTGAAAGGAGGGTTTGAACGTGTTCTTGGTCCCGAGGGCGAGCCGTGTGTTTAGGCATTAGGTAAGGGGCATGATATGCGGAGGAAGTTGCACGCGTCGGGGAGCATGTTGGAAGGGAATGTAGAGGGGAGATGGGTTGTATGGATGAGTATCATAGGCTGGCAGATCGTTGAAGCAACAGGCGAGCTGGTGTGGTGCGAGTTCGGTCGGCCTCTGGTGCGGAAGTACTCCAGGTGGAGGATGGTTGGCGGGTCGTGTGCGAAAGGAGAGGTATGTTGTGGTTGCAGGCAGGAAGTCGATCTATCGTCTTTAGCTGGACCAACGGGGGTCAGCCGGTATTGGATCCCGTAGTCCTACCGTCTTATGCTTCGGTCCGGGGATAGGCCGACGGAGGGTGGGGCTTGGAGGATCGGGATGGAGCGGACGTCGATGGAGGAACGGCACCGGGCGGATGGAGGTGACTTGATAGTCTGTCGAAAGGCTGTAGACAGGAGGGGCCGGTAGGAGGGGAAGGTGAGGAAACGGAGATGGAGATGGGGGTCGTGGCCAGTTATGCTTCGCGTCTAAAGGGTATGGAAGTGGGGTTGACAGAGGCGGTTGCTAATACAGCGGGTGCCAACGAGTCTCTACGGGAGCCTGCGATAGCAGAGGCCAGAGAGCTGTGTACGCTGTGGTAGAGCATCGTCGTCGAAGGTCATTCGACGAAGGGCTCCTGTCGGAGTTCGATTAGAAATAGAACCAGTACCGGTAGCCACGGACCGAGCCTCGATCCTTCCTCCCACCATGGTTCGTCGACGAACAATGTCCTCCAGGCCCTACCGATTCTCGAGCAAAGAAACAGATTAGCTCAAATTCACGCATCGACTCACTGACTCCCACCTCCACCACCACACAGCCCGCCATATCGAGTTCATCATCTTGGACCCACCTCTCACTCATCCCCACCAGACGAAGCTTTGCGCTCTCGAGTTCTACCATTGTCGACCGCAGGGTCCATAATCATAATCTCGCTCATCTAGTCACCATCACTTCACTTTGTCCCTTCTCCGCCATTCTCCCCATGCCTAGACGACCGCTCCATGGCAGTGAAGCAAGAAGAAAGCCGAAGCTGAAGGTTCGTCATCGCCACGACATCTTCTCAGTCTTAACTTGGCCGTGGTCCTACGCTCGCTACTCTTCCAGCCTCTCACTGTCAACGCTCCCTGCTACCGCGAGTGTACTCCACTGGAAGATCGTCTCCGTGAGAATTCGCTCATAGGTGTGTTTTCATACCGTGCTCTCATTACTCTCGCTCACTCACCCTTCTTCTAGCTTGTATTGTGCGGCACCCGAACTGATCCCCTCACTCGATGCCAATGTTCAACGTTCAACGTCAATCTCCATTCGCACCAGACGGCCCTCGAAGGCATCTTCAACTCTCTGAGTGGCAGCCGCACTTCGACATTTCCATTCCATTCGTTTTTCGTCCTATCGGTTCAGACCCATCATCTCGAATAATTACATCTCCTCCGGCCGTATACTCCTCCGGTACATCACCTCTCTTTCAACGCTCTCTCTGGGATCACTCGAGATTGTAAAGAACTCGCCAGCAGAAGATGGAGATTGGATTGCAAAGGGCAAACCAGGGTGTGGTGGAAGTCTTTATGGATAGATGATCGATTACGCGGTTAGTGGTAACCTCGCGAAGAGCCAAAGGGCCTTTTCCCGTACGTTTTTTCTCTATATTCTCTACCTCTTATGGTGTTGACATCTCGCGGTGCATACAGCGGACCCTCTTAGACTGAGATGAGGAGAGAAGCACGTCCATAGGACCAATGTCCTCTGCCTTCGGATGCAACCAAACCCCTTGTTTACCCCACTTACTCGGACCTCCACCTCCAGAACCTTCCGTTCTCGTCGGTGCGGCATCAACGTCATGCCTAGCCCTTATCAACAACGCCCGATTTCATTTCGGAAGACGATTTCCAGGTCTCCTACGCCAATAGATTTCGCGCTAGAGGATATTCCGCTGCTTAACCCGCAAATTGGACAAGCTATCCAACGATCCAACGACCCCGCTGACGAAGATCGTTATCGGCCCTGGGGTCGTCTAGCTCCCAATATTTTTGTCCTTACCGACGAAGCCTCGTCCAACATCCACTCTCGGTGTGGAACCTCATCTTAGCCCCTAATTCATAACAAAATTCCGGGATCCAACGCCGTTGTTACGACACGAATACAGCAGGCCTCAGCGCCCTCGTCTGTTTTCTTCCCTCCGACGCTCGCTGCTTTCCTTCTGGCTGATTTGTTCAGATTACTTCGTTAACCTTACTTGGACATCACACCGCCGGCCAAGGTCTCGATCGTCGGACGCATTCCTCGTCGCGAGCCTTGGTCAATGTCCGATTTTAGATCTCGCTCTCGGAGAATAGCACAATGAAGTTGAACCCACTCTTCGTCTGCTGCTTATGTAATTTCGAGAAGTGAAGAAGGGTAACGACACCTTCAAGACATCGTCACGACACGAATATTATTTACTTAACATACCACCACGGACGTCTAGCGCCAAACGTCCGACTGCGGGGTCTCCGAGACTTTAGATCTCCTACGCCCATTACGCTCCTCCTTCCAGTTAACCAATGCGACCCATGCTATCGATCTTCCAGAAGACAGGACTGCAGCGATTTCACGATACCGAACCTCTCCAATCTCCTGTGAGTGGTGTTCTCTGTAGGGGTAAGCTGTGTACAATTTCTTTTGCAATCCCGCCCGCCCCTTACACGAATCCCCAGATTCCAACGAAAGACTCTGTTAGGACGGAACGGTAAGCGTGAGCTTGGGTCTGAGTTCAAAGGGCGTCGACAACGGGCAAGAGAGAGTCTCTGCGGAAGGCGACGATATCAGACTATGCTGACTCGCGCAGGAGGTGGGCACCGAAGGGAAGACGTCGACGACGAGGGGCTCCTGTCAGAGAGTTAGAACCACCGGCGGCCACCGGACCGGGCCTCGATCCTTCCTCCCACCTGGTTACCTCGGAGCCTGCTCCTTCTCGAGCAAATGAGCAGAGTAACTCAAATTCACCGGCATGGGTTCGCTGGCTCCCGCCGCGACCACTACCCAGCCCGCCATACCTAGTCCATCGTCTTAGGTCCACCTAAGCTTCGCGTTCTCAAAATCTACCCAAGTCGACCACGTATCTGCTCGCCCACCCAACTTTGAACACCCTTCACTGTGTCTCTGCCCTGCATTCATCCAGGCCCACATAATGACACCATGCCATTGAAGTAAGAATATAGCAGAAGCCTCATGACCGCTCCGACATCTTGTCAGTCTCAAGTCGGTCATGGCCAGGCTATACTTGCTAATGCCTGCCACTTTTTGTCCAGTTGGTCAACGAATCACGTTACCGCAAGTACACTCTAGGAGAGGATCAGATCGCTGAGGGAGAAACCTTCTCATAGGTGTGTCTTTTCATCATGCTTTTGTAATTGTCGCCCATCTCTTACCCTTCTTGTAGATGGTGTTGTGCGGTAACTGAGCCGATCGCCTCACTCAATGTCAACGTTCAAGTTCAGCGGAAAATGTTCAACGTCAACCTCCCACCTCATCCAACCGTGACGTCAACTCTGGCCAACATGTTGTGGGGGGCGCTTTATCGACTCGTCTGCTCTCAACGTGGAACATCCGCCGAAGGCCCGTTTCTATTCGCACTAGACGAACCTCGAAGGTATCTTGAACACCCAGAGCAGCACCAGCACCGTAGTCCACCTCCGCTCCATTTGGTTTTCGCCCTATCGGTCCTAATCCTCCCCAACTTATCTCAAACAATCCATCCGGCTCCAGCCACACACTTCTCCGCCTCCTCGCCTCTGTTTCAATACTTGTTCTTGGACAGGAGGTCGCAGAGATAGAACCAGAAAAATACGACTGTTGGGTCACAGAGGTCGAACCACGCCGATTTATGAAGGTTTCGTGAGCAGATGTTGAATTAAGAGTGACTGCTATCCAGGAGAAGAACGGAACGAGTCTCCAAGTCTGTACATTTTTCCCCGTCTCCTCCGCTTCTTCTCCATGACGCTTACATCTCGCGGTGTATACAGAAAACTTTGTCGAGTCATTATATTACGGAGAGAAGCACGTCGATCAGTACAAGGCTCTCCGCCTCAGTTGCAGCCCAATCCTCCAGGCTTTTCTCCCGAAATCATTGCTGGCAACTTCATCGTGCCTGCCCGACTCATTCAGACCTCGACATCCAGACCCTTCCATGACCCACAAAGCTCGTCAGTGCCGCATCAACGTCATGCCCAGACATTGTCAACAACGTCCAACTTCATTTTGCGAGACGATTTCCACGTCTCAAACCCCAATAAATTTCGCGCTAGAGATCATGCCGTCGATTTCCCGTCCGGCTTCATTCTCTGTCCGACGAAAACCGTAGCAAAGGTCGTCCTCGACCCTGGGATCTTCTGGCCCCTTATATTTTCACCACAACCGACCGTGACTCGCCTGACGGTCCAAGACTCCAATATTTACTCTTGCTGAAATCTTGGAAGCCAACGCCCTTTTTTTGACACGAATACAGCAGGCCTTGGAGCCCTCGTCCGTTTTCTTCCCTCCGACGCTTGCTGTTCTCCTTCCAGTTGATTCGTTCATTTTATTTGGTCAACCTATCCCAGACCTCACACCACCGACCGAGGTCTCGATATCTCAATTATCAACATCATCTCTCGTCGCGAACCTAGGTCAACGTCTGTTCGGTCTCGCTTACGCAGACTGCGACGATAAATTGGCTTAGCTCGATTTCCATCACCAAATTTCCCCCACTGCTAGCACTGAACGTCGGGCTTCAATCTTCAGCCTCGCTCACAACCGTAACATTCGCTTCACGAGCGTCCGCGGCTCAGTCTCCAACGGGTCCACTTCCCCGACTCTTCGCCTCGCCCGTGTTTAACAACAACAACCCTAGATGGTTTCAGTCACCACTACACCCCCCCCCCAACGCCCGACCTCGCCGGAACTTTGTTGCGCTATCGATCCTGCTAACCTTCTCCAGATCCCCAAACGATTGTAGCAGCTTCGTCTATGCTGCCTGGAAATCTTCCCTCTGTTTCGATACTCGTTCTGGAAGTACCCCGCAAACGGAAGACTGCGATTGGATTACGAAGGTGAACCATGGCGGGGATTCGTGACGGCCATGGGGAAACGTTAAGCTAAGAGCTGTTGGTCGCCTTGAAAGGGCCGAACGAATGTATCCGCATGTTCCTTCCCGCCTTATCCACATCTTCTCGCCGACGCTGAGATCTCGCGACGCATACAGTCAATTCTCTGCCCGTGTCGGGCTCCTTCCGGCCCTCTGTACTTTTGGTCCTCATCAAATTCCAACCTCAAGCTATTTTACACCCAATGTATTCGGTATTTCAGTGAAAGTGTTAGTTGAAGGAGAGAAAGAAGGACATTGCCCATTGCGTCACAAAGGCCTTTGCTTCCGAACATCTTGTGGGTCCACTCATCAACATCGTTTGACACTTTGTTCTCATCGTCACGAGAAGGATATTGACGAGGCAGTGCTGGCGTCGATGTCGCGATGGACGTCCTCTTCTTGGATCCTGCACTCCCACAAGAAACGTTCTACCCTCCTCCCAGATTCAGATAGCATCGCCGTCACTCCCCTCGTTCGAAGATATGCTCGACAATAGCCAGAACGTTCTCGTTACGGGCGGAACGTTCAACCACGTTGAACATCGGGGCATGCCAGGTAAGTAAGCCGTTTCTGGAATTGTGTTTTCATAGAATTAAAGTCTCTTAGCGTTCCTGCAACTGCGCTCTGCGATCGCTGATGGCGCCATGCATGATTCAGGCGAGCGTTTCGATCCGCCCAAGTGTTACCCGGGCACTCGAGAGGTCATCCTCAAGCAATTTCTCGACTGGGTTATCGAGCACGATCGTGAAACCTTCTTGCGATGGTTATATGACCCCGTCGGTGCTGGCAAGTCGGCGATCCTACAAGAGATCGCTGAGATGTGCGCAAAGAGGAAGCTGCTCATTGCGAGCTTCTTCTTTGCTCGGACGGCTTCAGTGCGCAACGACGAGAAGAGACTCATCGCCGCCATCGCCTACCAGCTTGCACAATCGATACCTGACACGTTACCCCTTATTGAGAAGGCTATTGAACGCGACCCTGCTGTGTTTTCCAGGTCTCTCGACTCGCAGATCCTTCCTCCCACCAGACCCACCCTTTGAACCCCCATCAGACCGGTAGAGATCGGATTCAATAACGCTTGGAAATTCCAGCGGCAAGAGATTCTTGAGATCAGTAAGGTGAAAGAAGAGGACAGTGAGCGACCTACGAGAAGGTCCAAGGTCATTTCTAGGCATGCACCATGGTCAGAGACCGCACAGGCAGCGGTTTTTTTGTTCTTGTTGTTCTCGAAAATAAATAAGTTGAAGATGAGGAAACAAATTGCGGGATCTGTGGCTGCATTCTGCGCGAGAGGGATCGAAGTGCTCGCGATGAGGAACCAGCTCGACGATCGAGACCTCTGTCGGTGGTGTGAGGTTGTGGCAAGGTTGGCGAATGAAGTTGAATGAATAGAGCAGAAGGGAAACGTCGGAGTTTAGGAGGAAAAGGCTCTGAGGTCTGAGTTGGATGTTCGAAAAGAGGTTGGCCCTGACGCCCTGTCGCTGTGTTCAATGTTTATTGATGACTTTTTCTATCGCAACGACGAGTCGTAAGCTCCTTCGATGTTCTGATAAGTTCGGAAGTGTTAAGATGCTCGCAACTGAGCGGCTATGTCGAAAAAGTAGCTTCGTTGACGAAGATGAATATAGAGATTTCGAGGCCAAGGATGAGCCGTGTTGGGTGGCCTCGGAACCCGTCGGTCGGTCCGCTAGCGCGAGATTCGTAGCTGCTGAAGGTCTCGCGAAACGAAGTTATCCCTTGCTCTGGAGACAAGGTCGTGTTCAACGGCGGCACGCCTCGAACAATCCTGACGGTACCAACAGCGAACTAACACCCGCTTTGAATGATGAATCCTGGATTGCCCTCTATAGCGGGGGACTTGGGTCGACGAGGCGACGAGGCGAGCTTGCGGGCATGGTACCCTGGTCTGGCACAAGCTTGAGAGTTTGAGCTTTGAATCTCGCATATTGCGGGCGGTTGGCAAAGGATAGCGACTTTAGAGACTGGAATCTGTTTGAAGTGTGAGGAAAGGCTGACGCATGCGGGGAGAACGGCTCACCTGTCGCCGAAATTCTCCTCCGTATCTTGACCTTCCAACTTTTTTGACACTCATCGAGAAAAGAGGGATAATAGCAAACAGTGAAGGAAGAAAACGATTGTATGTGGAGCGAGGAGAGGAATGAAAGATAAAGGTCGGGGCTTGGGAGAAAAGGGTGAAGTTCAGAGTGTAAGAGGAGTGTACGAGCGGAGAAACAAGTGTCTAGTGTGGGTGTAGAAAAACATGGGAAAAGAAGGAATAAGTTATAACGAGGCTATTGCTGGGTGCGTTGTCATCGGTAGTAACATGCAGACACCATCTTCTTCTGGACAAGTCGAGGGACGGCGGCAATGAAAGGCTCAGTAGACAAGGATCCAGAAGAATCGGACCAAAACACAAACTTGATGCTTTGCAACGCTGGGAAATGGCCTCCAAGCAGAAGATCTTGCAGCTCATCCCATGTGCTACGGCGTACAAGGTCGTCCTCTTCAAAGAACCCGATAGTGAGGTGCCGGAGATGCCTATGTGCACCGAGGAGGAGAAGGAACTGCACTACTACCTCTATTATTGTTGGGGAATCCTCAGATGCAAACTTGAATCGAGAGCTGATGGTGGTGATTGAGCGTAGACTGATGGTCTGCTTCACTGCAGCAATCAGTGACCGCAACTCTACTCAATAACTGTGTTAGTGACAATGCGACCATAGACGGAAAAAGACAACCGACCTGCATCGGATGCTTCATTCAAACCTCTGACGTCTACATGTTCCAGTGTTTCAAACTGCGGGGAAGCTGTGGCACTGAAAATCGGGACATATTGGCCCTTGCGATACCCCAGGTAAAGGGTTTTCAGTGATGACAGGGCCGGAATGAGCCAATCTATTAGGGTATTTCAAAGTTGGCGAAGCGGCCGATTTGAAACGGCCGATTCGATTCACTTTTCGGAACAGGTCGTTCGGAATTTGAACTACCTGATGCGAGTGATGGGCGACGTTCCGGCAGGACAAGTCGACATTTCATGATGAGTCGCCGTTAACGGAGCGCCACGACGGAGGCGGGTGCTTCCTCAACGCATTAGACAGCGAGCAAGATGTTTTCACCATATATCCTTCAACTTTGTCCCTTTCTCTTAGAAATTTTACACTATCATTGCGGTCATCTAGGGCTATCAGAATACATATATTTTGCTGCTTATGAAGGAGAACACTCCCCTCAAGTCATGAGATAAACTCGCATCTTTTGTGAGGTATTGCATGGAGTTCCCGCCTTCTATTGACATCTAAATGCGACTTTTATGCCCCATAACAATAACCATTCATTACAGGCCAAAAAATTAGGTCGAAGAAAGAAGGGGTGTTCATATTCTCTTACTCGCTGTCGGGCTCGATGAGCAAGTGCCTTTCTCCATCACGGAGGCGACCTTGGCGGCCGTTCCGCTGTCATGCGGATGCTATTCGCGGCGAAAAGCCCATCACGACGCCATCGGTAGTTCAAACTCCGAGCAGCCGGTTGTCAGAAGTGATTCGAATCGGCCGTTTCGAATCGGCCGCTTCGCCAACTTTGAAATACCCTAATCCAACACCAAGGCATCGTAACATGTATGAATGTCCAACCTCTCCAACCGGAATATCGGTGCGGCAATGTCGCCTTTTCTGGCCCTTGCGACCCGCACCCAGCAGTCATTGAAAGTGATTGCTCGGAGATTTGGGAAGTAGTTCAAGAAAGTGGGGAGAGCGTGATCCCTATTCGCAATATCTCCCAGACCTTCCGGATCCCGCTCTGTCAGCGAAATCTCCTCGACGCATCTTAACTGCGACAACACAGGAAAGTCGAAGCGGGTGTTTTCTACCTGATGGCGGATATCGAGGGAGATGACATATGGGGACAGAAGTTCCAACGTGCGCTTCAGTACCTCGGAGTGCTGGATCCAGGGCTTGTGATACTGGGCCAAAAGCAGATGCTTGATGTACGTCTGAATATGAGGTGTAGACTCCAATCTGGCCAGCCAAGGGATGGTCTGGGACTCCTTTTTTAAGGTCAAGGAGCCGAAAATATGAGCCTGAGTGGGTGAAACGAGCGCTCTACATGTTGAAGCACATGCACATAGTGAGGCGTAGTCTTTCTCTGCACCGAGATGACTTATGATGGTGTAAAGCAATTCTAGGGGCAGTTGGGGAGATGGCATTGTGTGGGCAAAATGTAGTCCTGGACTGCTGTTATATCGGCTTTGGCTACTGTGTTCTCGTCAGCGGTTGTCATTTGATGAGAGTTTCAGCGCATCAATCATACAAGATTTAGAATATCTTATCTTAGATCAGAAGTCTACAAGCACACTGCCGTGCGGAATTCGTCCATCACAGCTATCGGCGTGTCAAGTTGTTGCTCTCCACACACCTGGGAAGACCCCGAAAGCCCTTCCTTGTGTGGGCGCTAACTGTGGACGCCAAAAATGTGGCCAGCGGGAGTCTGTCAAGTCAAGCCTCGCGAACTTGAGACGTCCTATTACTTCGCTCCTGGCAGCTAGAACCCTTGGAAGCTGGTCGTCGACGAACCATGTTGGTGGGAGGACCGATTGAGACCCGGTCCGGGCCGGTTCTCTTTTTCTTCGGACTCTCCGAGTCGTCGTCATCGACACTCGCTCTCTTCCCTTCGCCACTCGACTCCTGCGAGTGCGTACGCAGCTCTCTGGTCCCCTGTTGTCTTAACTCGGAACCCGCCGTCTAACCTACCGCGTCTCGACGCCACCCTACGTTCAAGTTCACGACCGCAAACTCGAGCTCAAGGCACTTCTTCCTCCCCCTCCGGCCTCCCTTCTGCAGCTGCCGCCTCCCCATTACTCTCTCCGCGGACATTCACTCCTCCTCCCCGCCCCTCCTCTCTTCGGCCTTTCAAGACACTATCAAGGACGTCCGCTCCATCCCGATCCTCCAAGCCCCACCCTCCGTCGGCCTATCCCGGGACCGAAGCATAAGACGGTAGGACTACGGGATCCAATACCGGCTGACCCCCGTTGGTCCAACTCAAGACGCGCTAGATCAGCTTCGTACTCGCAACCAACAACACACCTCTCCTTCTGTACACGACCTGCTCAGGCTGAGTGTCCTCCCTACACGAGCACTTTTACACTGGCCAATCCAACCTAGGCCGACCAAACTCGCACCAATCCAGCTCGCCTGATTTCTCAACGAGCCGCCAGCCTTCGATACTCCTCCATGCGACCCATCTCCCATCTACATTCCCTTCCAACATGCTCCCGGAAGCTTGAGACTCAAAGCCTCCTTGCACCGCAGATCGATGAAGAATAACCTCCCCGGCAACATCTTTCGTTCCCTCGCGGCACTCCTGCCGTGTCCGCGTCATCATTCCACCCGCCTCCATCCTCTATCCCGAAGCCTTAGTTGCCCCGTCCCTCCTCCCTCGTTACTCGTGATTCGGCAACGCTTATCCTTCCTGCCCTCGTCCTCCACTCTTAGCTGTCTGCTCGACAACTTGCCGGCATGCACTTGAGCGTCAACACGACCCCTCGTCGTCGCAGCCAACCCGCCGTCCGAAGGTCCTTATTCCACTTCCAAATCATGGTGTCGCGTAGGCGGGGCAGACAACTGGAACACGAGACTTCGTAGCGAGAGCTGACAAATTCGGGAGTGAATTGAAGATGATGGAGGCGCAACGTGGTATGGCTTACTCGAGGTATCGGGGCGTCAGTGGTACAGGTACGATTCGCCGTATTCTACCTTTGTCCGTCGGTTTTTAAATCCACCCTCCCTTCATTCCTTAGACTTGGACACCCGTCAAGACGATCTTGCGATGCAGCATGGACATCGTGTAGATTCGAGATGCCTCGGAGGCTCGGGTCAACCCCTTCAGGCCCACGAAACTGGTTTTCGCTACCATCCGTTGGCCATGACCTATAGCTCAGTTGAGCGGCACGGTACGGCGCGCACTACGTATCATCGCCGTAAATTCTGAAGTCATTTCTTCCCAGATGATATTTCGACAAATTCCTTTCTTTTCCTTTTCATCGCCGGTGCCACAGGAGGATTGCACCGTGAATCCCCCGTCACATTTCGCTGCATGGTCGCCTCAATATCTTCTTGGAGGTCCACATCAACTTCAACGTTCCTACCCATTTGGGTTAGGTGTTGTTTATCAACCCGGCTCAGAACAGCGGTTCACCCCCTCACAGGTGGTCGTTCTCGCCCCTGCTACTTGTCGTCCGCGTACCTTCACCTCCGCTCTTTCCTCGAGTTTTATCGTAGCTATAAATTGCGAGTCATTCTTTTATCCTTTTTGCATCACGAACACTAAGCATTCTTTGTCTGAAGGGAGTTAGTCGATCGCCGCTGTGGCGCACGCGGAAGCAAAACCCACATGGTTGTTATATATAAAGACATTTGCGCCACATGCCGGGACGCTCATCGAAGACTGGGAACATGCCTGGTTAGGCTTTGCGGATGCTGGTCCAGCGAGTTGAGTCCACAGAGGGACACACTCCGAGTTTTGGTGCTCTTTATGTTCGCTGCCTCTGATGGTATCACAGTAACTAGCAGATACCCGTGCGGCTGCACGGTGAAATCCGTAGATAATTTATAATTACTTCTTTGGTGTGCTCGGGGTAGCCATGAAATTGGTTGACCCTTCAGGCTAGGCCAGTTGTCGTTGTTGTACTTAATCAAAGCGAACTCCCTTTCGCTTTGCGGGGGTAGTGGAGGCTGATTTCACACGTCAGGAGGTAATCTACGGGGAGACTGAAGGAAGGAGCGCCTCTGAACACCTGAGCACACAAAATTAGTTCTGGAATGGAAGATATCAACCTTCAGCAACGTACCTTGGGCCTCATGCTCTCCCACAGATTGTACACCATTGCCTTTGGTACCTTCGGTAACTTCCTCTAGTTGAAAAGTTAGCCAAAGAATATCAAGAAAAAAGGGGCTAACAACTTCGTACCTCTATTTTGGTGCAATTCTTTGTGGACAAACTCGACCATGTCCTCACCCTCTGAATCTGCAATCTCATCATCTGCATTCATAAGATGGGTTTACAACATAAGACACAAAGAAAACCCAAATTCTCACCTGAACACCTGAGTGCATCATCTACTGCCTGCCGAGGAGTCACTTCCTGCTCTGGCACTCGTCGATTTTGTTGATTAGGGGCTCCTGAAACATTTGGTTGGTATCATGCACCTGCCGGCTGTAGCATCTATGCTTACCCCGAGTGCGAGGCGCAGGTTGGGAGGGGTTGGAAGAGTTGAAGCTGTAGAGAGCCACATTCGTCAAGGTCATGATGATGGGCCAGGTGTTGCAGAGTGTTCACGCTCCTGACATTGTTGTGCAGCCAGTGATCTTCTACTGGGAGGTAGTCGTACCTCTCCATGGATCCTCGTATGGACGTGTGGGCGATCAGGTTCCTGGGATGGCAAGATCAGTGCAGGATGGGTTGGCGGGACAGTTGGAGGTGGGGCACTCTGACGTGCTTCGCGCTCGCGAGCTCTGCGTCTTTTTTGGGCAAGAGATCAGGCATTTGGCTGGGCAGTAGGTGGTTGTGGTGTCAGCAGTGGAGTGAGAGGCGCAAGGCGAGGGCACATCTAATTGTTCATAGATTCAGGATATTGCACATATGTATAGCATGTTAACGACAACTCACCATTGTCCTGCAATTCGACGTGACCGATGTCGAGCTAGAGGCATGTGGAGCTCGGTTTTCATCTCCATTGTTCTGTACGCGTCGGCGTCTTGGAGAGGCAAGTAGCTCGCTTTCCCGAGCAGTCCAACTGGACAACCGTGTTGCCATCCTTTGAACACGTGCAGCTGCTGGGGGAGTTGGAGTTTCTGGTCGAGCAGCAGGGAGGCGGCGGCGGCATGGGCTCTGATTCGCATTTTGAGCGAGCTCTCGCAGAGCCTGGCCGGCTTTCTGCTGCTGCTTTTGAAGGGTAGTGAGAGCGTCCTCAGACCTGGTTTGCGTCTATCAGTGGCAGAAGCAGGACAAACAGCGATGTACCTACATGGATAGTCACCAACCCCGCTAAATGAAGTAGAGCAATACATCGCATGTCGTTGCGTCGGTGATGTAACTGCATCGGGGCAGACCCCTGCCAAAATTGATCGAATATTCACGAAAATCCGAGGCAGCAAGCGCACCTGAACCGCTTCTCTCCTAGTCGTGGCCTGCGAACACCATTATTAGGGGGTAACACTGAGCAGGAGTTTCAGGAGTGGGCAATCCTGATTCCCAGGGCTCCGGAGGCAACAGCACCAGTCTTTGAGAGGTGTAGAGGTGTAGTAGGCCTTGAATAGATCTCAGACACCGTGTTCTTTGCCTTCATTGTCGTGAAATTAGAAAAATCTATGTTAGCGCACGCACGAAGTGTTGTGGAAGAGGTGAGTCGGCCTCGACGTTGGAGAAGGATTTGAGCAGCCAATCAGATTGCAGGTTTTGCTTGTTTGTCTCAGCCAATCAGAAGGCTCCTTTTGCTCGAGCGTGAGAACCACTTCTGTTTAATATCACAGTAATTCTTGACAAATGTGAAAGGAAATATGCACCACAAGCTCACGTCCTTAAGGCGTCTCGTCGAGTGCTTGAAGAGCCGGCCACGACGACAAAGAAGGGAGACTTCGCTAAGCAGAATGTCGGTGGCCATGACTTTAGTCCAAGGGGGATTCTGCCCACGGGTGAGAGATGTTGGAGTTAGCCAACCCAGCATTTACTCGGACTTACCAGAATACTTGATTAGTAATATTCTGACTCACTTAGCATAGCCTCGGACAAATAGGAAATTAGTAGATAGTACTAGAATATTGTAGATACATAATTGTACAGTATAAAAGAGCTCTGTAGGAGCCCCGCAATATTAATCCTCTCTTACCTTCTGACCACCACTGCGCCAACAAGAGAGATGGGGAAGGTACACATTTGAGGACGGAGGAACTCCAAGGGATAGCATAGAGCGGGCGGAGGATTCTGGGAGCCGTTTGTCCGGGTACCAGAGCAGCGAAGGGAAGAGAGAGTCGGAGAAGAGAGGCTCCTGTCGGAGTTCGAATGAAATTATGACCAGCACACCGGACCGGGTCTCGATCCTTCCTCCCAACAGCTCCCTGTGCTCTCCTTCTCGAGCGAACTAGGACGGAACGAGTTGGACTCACCGGTATGGACTCACTGGTACACCGCAGCCACCGCCTTGCACGCTATACCGTACTCATCAATATGGATGTAGTCTCCATCCGACGAAGATCCAACTCAAGTTTCGCGCTCTCGAGATCGTCGGTCCATCATCTCGCTCATTTAGTCTCCACCCTCACTTGATCATGCACCCCATGCCCAGGCGACTACCCCATGGCAGTGAAGCAAGAAGGAACTGAAAATTCGTTATTGCCCCGACATCTTGTCGGTCTCAGCTCGGTCATGGGCCTACTATCTGCCACTCGTGGCTCAGCCACTCAATGCACCTCGCGTTAGTTTATTCGACGAATGGATCGAATTGTTGGACGGGAACTCTACTCGTAGGTATGTTTCCTTGCCATGCCTTGGGAACCCTCGCTCATGTCTCACCTTTGTTCTAGATCGTATTGTGCGGCACCTGGGCTGAGCACCTCACTCAGCGCCAACGTCCAACGTGTTGCGGCCAGCATTTCCCAGATTCTCCCCACATGGTGCATCCACCGAAGCCCCGTTTCTATTCACACTGGACGAACCTCGAAGGCATCTCCAATACCCAGAGCAGCACCAGCACTGCAGATACCTCCGTTCTATTCGGTTTTTCGCCTTATCGGTCCTAATCAGCTCCCCAACTTATCTCAAACGATCCATCCTGCTCCGGCAACACACTTCTCCGCCTTCTCGCCCATCTGCTAAAATATTCGTTCTGGGAGTCCTCGAGATTGCGAAGACCCACCTTCAGAAGACGGCGACTGAACTGCAGAGGTCAAACCAGGGTGTGGATGAAGGCTTCATGGGTAGATGTTCACTTACATGGCCAGGAGGATCGAACGGGGCTTTCTCCGTACGTTGTTTTCCCCGTCTCCTCTTATGCCTAACGTTGACATCTCGCGGTGCATACAGTGAACCTTCTCGGATCGTGATGAAGAGAGAAGCACGTCGATATGTTCAATATTCTCTGCCTTCGGTTGCACCCCAATCCCCCAATCTTTTCACTTGGAATCACCCCCGATCGGCGGCTGGAAACTTCATCGCGCCTACCCCACCTGTTCGGACCCCCACCTCCACATTTCCCCATTACTGACGATACTCGTCCGTGCCGCGTCAACGCCATGCTGGATTTCATTTTGCGCGACATTTTCGAGGTCTCAAACCCTAGCAAATCCCGCGCTAAGGAAATGACCCGGTGATTTCCCGGCGAACTGGACCGGCTATCCAACGCCAATGCTGACGAAGGTCGTCCTCCGCCCTGGGATTTTCTAACTTCCTATTTTTTTGTCACAACCGACCAGTGCCTCGTCGGACGCTCCGACGTTGATCTGGAAGCCAATGTCCGTGGTTACGACACTACTACGGCAGGCATTAGAGCCCTCATCCGTTTTCTTCCCTCTGACGCTCGCTGCTTTCCTTCGAGCCAGACGACCGAAGAACCCGCCCGTGAGGTACGGGAGCGAATGTGCAGGATGGCGTCGAGACTTCGAGCGGAATCAGGCGAGATGCTGCAAGTGGACCTGGGATACCGAATGGTGGGCGTCAGCTAGAGCAGAGGCGGCAGGAGGCAGCAGTCATGGGAGCATTGACTAGACCCTTGGAGAGGAGGATCGAGGACGTCGGACGAAGAACAGAGCTCCTGTCGGAGTTTGAATGAGTCCATCAGCAGCGTGCACCGGACCGTGGCCTGTGCTCCTGAATCGCCAACGACCAATAGGCCGTAGGCTAGCTTCTCCGAACAACGATTCAGCACCTTGCAAACCGCCTTACGGTTCGACAGATATGAGGCGGACACATTGTTAAGCTCCGCTAGATGATCGCTATCCCGAAGTTTATCGTTGAAGTACCGAGAGGATCCTGCCACCTTCTCTGACACCCGCCATTCGGCACCCGGCGTCCACCTGTGGCATCTCGCCTGATCCTGATCTTCATCTCAGTCGACTTCTTCCATGAATACTTATTTGATTCGGCCCACTTCTTCCCACAAAAAAGCAATTTCTTTAGTAGTCACGTCGTCAGTCTCACACCGCCGATTCGGAGGCCCTACTCAGAACCCAGATGAAAGCATAAGGGACGAAAATAAGAACTGCATTTTTGGCGTCCACAGTCGGCGCCCACACAAGGAAGGGCTTTCGGCACCCTCGCACGTATGCAGAGAGCGGTAAAGATTTTGCTGACAACTTGAACATCTTGACACGCCAACATGTAAGTGAGGATTGAAGTTGAAAAACTGGAACAGCAATTCCGCGTCATGATGGCGGTGTGCTCACCGCTCGTACATAAGCCTCCGATCTAAGATAAGGTACTGTAACTCTGGTATGATTTATGCGCCGAAACTCTCATCAAATGACAACCGCTGACGAGAACACACTAGCCAAAGCCGATATAACAGTAGTTCAGGACTACGTTTTGCCCACAAGATGCCCTCTCCCCAACTGCCCCTAGAATTGCTTTACACCATCATCAGTCATCTCGGTGCAGAGAAAGACTACGCCTCACTATGTGCATGTGCTTCAACATGTAGAGCACTCGTTTCCCCCGCTCAGGCTCGTATTTTCGGCTCCTTGACCTTAAGAAAGGAGTCCCGGACCATCCCTTGGCTGGCCAAATTGGAGTCTACACCTCATATTCAGACGTACATCAAGCATCTGCTTTTGGCCCAGTATCACAAGCCCTGGATCCAGCACTCCGAGGTACTGAAGCGCACGTTGGAACTTCTGTCCCCATATGTCATCTCCCTCGATATCCGCCATCAGGTAGAAAACACCCGCTTCGACTTTCCTGTGTTGTCGCAGTTAAGATGCGTCGAGGAGATTTCGCTGACAGAGCGGGATCCGGAAGGTCTGGGAGATATTGTGAATAGGGATCACGCTCTCCCCACTTTCTTGAACTACTTCCCAAATCTCCGAGCAATCACTTTCAATGACTGCTGGGTGCAGGTCGAAAGGGCCAGCAAAGGCGACATTGCCGCACCAATATTCCGGTTGGAGAGGTTGTACATCCACACATGTTATGATGCTTCGGTGCTGGACTGGCTCGTCCCGGCTCTGTCATCGCTGAAAACCCTTCACGTGCAGTACACGGATCCAAACAGTATCCCAATTTTCAGTGACACTGCGCCCTCTCCCCCCCAGCTCGAATCATTGGAACATGTAGAGGTGAGAGACTTGGATCGTGCCTCCAATGCAGGTCAGTTATTTCTTTCGGCCTATGGCTGTCTCGTCCCTAACCCAGCTATCATGTAGAGCTGCGGTCGCTAATGGCTGCAGTGGGTACGAACACCGTTAATCTGCTCTCGATCACCTTCATGACCTCTGGATCCTCATCCGAGCATTCCCCGGTAAAGGCGGCGGTGCAATCCCTTCTCATCCTCGGTGCACATGGGCATCTCCAGCACCTTGCCATCGGGTTCTTTCAAGAGGACGACCCTGTAGACGGTAGCCCATGGGATGAGTTGCAAGACCTTCTACTTGGGGGCCGTTTCCCAGCGTTGCAAAGCGTCAAATTTCTTTTTTCGTTGTATTCGTCTGGAACTAATCCTGTGGCACCTGAACATTTCATTCACGCCGTCCCTCGACTCGCCCTAAAGAAGATGATATCTATTTGTTACGCCTGATGACAATGTAGAGAATAGTAACCTGATTATCCCTTCTCTCCCCATCTTGTTTCCAAGTCCACACTAGAAGCTTGTTTCGCTGCTCGTACGCTCCTCTTACACTCCGAACTTCTGCCTTCTTCCCGAGTCCTGACCTTTTTCTTTTATTCGTCTCCTTGCCCCACATACGATCGTCTTTCTTCCTTCACTGTTCGCTGTTATCCGTCCCTTCTCAACAAGTGTGTCTTATATAGAGGAAAATTTAGGCTGATGGGTCAGCCTTCTCTCCACATGTGTTAGCCATTCCTCACACGGCAGGCCCGTAAGTTAGCTATTCGTCCACAATATGCAAACCAAACTCTCAACCTGGTTATGGACTGGGGTACCATGTCCACAACCTCACCTCGTCGAACCAAATTCCCGCCATCGGGGGCATCGTGAACGCCTCAGGAGGAGCGAGGTGTTCGCCCGCTGCTTATACTGTCAGGAACTGTCCGAGGCACGCCACAGTTAAACACGACATTGTCTCCACATCAATGCATAACTTCGTTTTGCGAGACACCTTCAGCCGTTACAAGTATCGCGCTAGCGGACCGACTGACGTGTTCCGAGGCCCTGCTAGCTCCCCAACACAACTCGTCCTCGGCCTCGAAATCTCAAAATCTCTATATATTCATCTTCGTCAGCGAAGCTATGTACTTTTCCGACACTGCCGCTCCGTGGTGAACATCATACCACCTGATTAACTGCACCACCGAAGGAGCCTACGACACGTTGTTGCGATACGAAGAGCCATCGAACATGGTGACAGGCCATCAGCGCGAAGCTCTTTTCGAACACAATCCTGCCCAACATCCAACTCAGACCTCAGAGCCTTTTCCTCCAGGCTTGAGGCTTTGAAACCTGTGGTGGCCAGAGAGAGATGAAGCCCAGGCTGGATCGAAGAGCGGCGCGTCGACGACGATTAGAAAGCACACCTTCGGAGGAGGCGAGCGGCAAGCAACACGAGAGGAACCGAGGAGGAACGGGGGTGTCGGACGGGGAGAACAGATTTTGACACAGGCACAACAGACATGCAGCAGCGAAGAGGGCAATGCTGCAGTCACTTAGCCCGAAGCTAATGCTCTTCATCAACGTTGTTCACATGAAAGGTCTTCTAGTATGTTATGCATAAGTATATCGAATGATTACGATTAGGTGACATACTTCATACACGAGGAGATGAGGGCTCGATGAACGGAGGGCAGGGAAGCGGAGTGGAATGGAGGGACGTCGCGTGCAGTCGACGGTTGAGACGAGATTTGTTGAAGGCCTAGGTATACGTCAACCTCAATGAGTGACAGTTTTGACAGACCAACGGAGGATGGATTGGAGGATACGAGTGACCTGTAAGACTTGAATGCGGTCTTCACCTCCTATGTTTCGAGCGTTTGGCTGTTAGGAATCGCGGTAATCGTGACAGAGCAATGGCATAAAGGCAACAGTGATGGTCCTTCAAAAAGGGAAACTTAACCGAGTCATAAGGAAGGATGAAGGAGGCTGTGTTGTGAGGGGATCATCGGGGATGTATACGACGGAGACAGTGGTTGTAAGGGGCATACAAACACAGCAGAGCAGGCATAGAGCAAAGGCTGGTGAAGGTCGCCGTCGAAAAACGACAGCGACAGGGAAGCGGGGGCGACTCGCTGGTGAGGTGCAAGTGGGGAGAAGAGGGGTGACCGGTGACCAGCCATGTTTACATAATTCATTCTATCATCACGTGCGGGGGGTAGAAGTCAAAACCTTCTAGTGCTACTTATCTTCTAGGTCTTTATATTTCGCCAGTGGCCATGGCACACAACAGGACGGATTCCAAGGAATCCAATTCGTCACCTTCCACCCTCGATAGCCCCAGTACTACGGCCTCTGAGTTGCAAATCTTCACCGATCTCAGTGCGGACGTCGACAGGTCGACCCTCTCTGATGCCGATGTGATTGCTCAGACCAAGAAAGCGAAGGATATCATCAAGAAACTCGAAGAGAACGACACAGCCAACATTTTCAAGCCCTCGGCAACTGCAACATCGTTGCGACTTCATCGAGTTCTACAGGCAATGCTCACCTGTGCCGAGGACATCAAGATGCCACCCCAGAGTTCTGCTGCTTCCCGCTCCGATGGCAAAGCCGATTTTCCGCAACATCGAGGGCTGGTATACGTGATTAAAGCAATTCTTACTTGTTCCGAACGGGCTGAAGAGGGTGATCGCGGCGGTCCCTTGCGACGTGAAGAACTGGTTAAGAACCTCCGAGCTCTCGCAGTCACTTGGGTCACCCACTTCCTCTTCCCATGTGAGTTCATCCAGGTTTTGTTTCCGTACATCAATGCTAAAGCCACTTTGCGCAGTTAAAGCCAGTCCGAGAACCTACGCACAACAAGCATCTGAAATTTTTTCTGATATCGCCACCCCAACGTATGAAAGGACGGCGGATGATATGCCGACTAGATCCATTGGACGTAGGACTTTAGACACGGATACCGTAAGCCTCTCCTGTTTTGACGGAGACCTCCTGCGTAAAAACACTTCTGTTCTTAGGTGCTCCGTCGTGACGGTTATACGTGTGTGATCACGGGTATAGTAGACAATCGTCGTCCTGTGGATCCAGGTGTTGCTAAATTGGAGGTAGCTCATGTGTTGCGGAGAGCTGTAGGTGGGCAAAGTCACCGTGAGACGGATCCTAGTGTACGTCCGATGTATCGTCTCGTCCGCAAGAATCTTGCTGAATGTCGTCTCACCAGTTCAGACTGGCCGCTGCTACGTTCGATATACTACGAAACTATACTCGCCTTCCCGATGACTACCTCCGGAACCTGGAGGATCACATTGATCATCCTTCAAATGCAATCACCCTTGAACCCAATACACATACCCTCTTTGATCAATACCAGATATGTCTGCTCCCAACAGTATGTTTTTATCTCCATTTTCCATGTGCAAGCACCCAATACGTGTTAGGCTACTGAACACACATACGCACTCGACTGGTTTGACAAGTCACGGGTCGCCGATTTTCTTTCTGGTCTCTGCAAATTGGGAGGCCGCAACTTGGCAGATCCAGTTGTTTTCAGGAACCATGCTCCCGCCTACCATATGCCCGACCCGATTTTCATCAGGATTCACGCCACTGTGGCAGGTGTTCTCGATATGTCTGGTGCAGCCGAATTCATTGACGACTTAATTGACAAGCACCCGCCATCTGGGAGCAGTAAACCTGCTAGCAGCTGGAGTGACATGGAGGACTTGATATCGCTCCATGAAGTTGTTACTGAGCTCCAAAGGGTGGGTTTGGTGAATCAGTGTATGGGTGAGTGAGGTGGTGACACATGGGGTCAGGGTTAAGATGCGTCGGGTCGAGTTTGGTAGATTTGAGAAGACAAAGCTCAGTTTGGATCCTCGTCGACGAGGATCTATGATGACAAACTTGGTGGTGATAGGCTGGAGGAGTTCCGAATTCCAGCCATTCCCTTCCTTCACTCGAGAAGGAGCAGATCTGGCAGCTGGAGGTCTTTGAGTCGGTCATGTCGAGGAAGGGTCGAGACCGGTCTGGTGGGCACTGTTGCCAGGTTTATTTTTATACAGGAGCCTCTCGTCGACGAGTGGTGTCTCTTCTCTTCGCTGCCTGTCTCCCCATCACCGCATCTCGACAACACCCTAGGCCCCTACCAAGCTCGCGCCAGTCCGGCTCGCCTGTTTTCTTGGCGAGCTACCAGCCCGGTTACCAATACCCCTCATCTACTCGCTACCACACCCATACACCATTTTCTTTGATACTCCTCCACCCTTCCCCCGTATCCATGGAGGCCTTTTCTATTCCTTCCCACCACGCTCCTGGAAAATCATACAGCCACGTACCTGATGCCCAAACATCCTGCTCATCCTTAAGGCCAAGAACACGTTCAAACCCTCCTTGCACCGCACGCCGAAGAAGAATAACATCCCAGCAACATCCTTCCTCTCCTCTCGGTACTCCTCCGTGCCATTCATTCGGGATGACATTCCGTCCGCTTCCGTCCTCTATCCCAAAGCCTCCGCGTTCCTCCTCCTCCATCGTTACTGTCCCTCCCTCGTCCTCCGCTTCCAACTCTGTATGCCTACCCCGCGTGCACCTGAACGTCAACATGACCCCTCGTCGTCGCAGCCAACCCGCCGCCACGAAAGGTCCTCATTCCGCTTCCAGGCCCATGGCATCGCATAGGCGGGGAGAACATCCAGAACACCGGAGTACATGGCGAGAGCTGGCAAATTCGGCGTGTGTGAACATGGAGTGGTGTGACTTGTTCAAGGTATCGAAACATCAGAGGCGCGGGTACGATTCGACATGTTCTACCTTTGTCCGTCGGCTGATAGAACCATCGTTCCCAGATTTCTCACATAAGAACTGGCACACTCGACAAGACGGTACTCTTCGCGAAACACGATTAATTGCGGGAGGGAGGGCAGGCCGGCTCTAGATTCAACCTCTTCGGGCCCATGAAACTGGTTTTCGTTGGAGCAGGCCAGATGACCGCTCTCGGATGCGCAGGCTCGGAAACGCGTCGAGCAGGCCGTGCGGATGGCGTCGCAGGCAAGGCGTAATGACGATTCTGTACCGACTCAGCGCTGGCTCATCTGTATGTGCACAGCCACATATCTATCTAATCTAATCTAATCTACGCTAGGCCCTGGCAGGGCTCCCGGCTACATAGTCACCATCCATCGGCCATGACCTATGGCTTATTTGCCTGGTACGGTACGGCGCACACTACGTACCATCGCTTCGAACTTGGAATCCATTTCTTCCCAGATGATATTTCGACAAATTCCTTTCTTTGCCTTTTCCTCGCCGATGCCTTGATGCAGGAGGAGCACACCGCGACTTCTTCCGTCATCTTTCACTGTGTAATTGCCTCAATATCTTCTTGGAGGTCTGCATTAGTTTCAACATTTATAACCACCCTCGCTAGGTGTCGTTTACCAACCCGGTTCGGATAGGCGATTTATCCCCCACGCTGCCCGTTCTCGCCCCTGCTACCGTCCGTGTCCCTTTACTTCTGCTCTCTCATTGAGCTTTATTACCGTGAGTCAGTCGGTGAATTAATTTCATATTTCATTCTGCAAATACTAATAATAAAGGAGTTTTTACTCGATCGCTTGGTGTGTCGATCGCTTGGTGTGGTGCACGCCAAGGCAAGCAGGAGCAAAAACTACATGGCTTGGGATATGTATACAAAAGGCATATGCGCCACACCCCTGGACGCTCGCCATCGGAGACAGGGGTCGCACTTGGTTAGGCTTCCCAGAAGTGGGCGCTGTTTGTGTCCATCAATTATCTGATTAAATTACAGCAATTCTTACACCTGTGTGGAATGAAATATGACAGGACCGTGTCCTTGAAGGGGCGGCCACGGAAGAACGACGACAGAGAGCGACTTGGGTAGGCAGAATGTCAGTGGACATGACTTTAGTCCAAGGGGGATTCTGTCCGAATATTGCAAATAACGCTAATTTATTCCAGCCTAGGACCCCATTTCTCTTGAGCACCTTGTGAGATCCTCATGGCGACCTTCGCTCCCTGGACTCCGAAAATGTGTCATAGGCTTTGGTCGAGAACCGAGGCCGGACAGATGGACAGCGGAATGGCAGCAGCGATGGAGCTGCGGAGCTGCGACCTGACGTTGAGGCAGCGGGTGAGAGATATGGGAACGGAGGAAGGTGTACATTTAACGCGGTCACCTAGCGTAAGGATTGAGGAAGAGGGCCAGGGACAGAAGAAAGAAGAAGGGGTGCCAATTCCAGAGTGTCGAAGAGGGACTTCCCTAGCTTCTCCCAGCTGAGCGCTGAGGTCTCCAGGGAGTTTCCGGTCAACCATGGATTGCATGAGGAGAGTCAGCGGGTCGGTATCGCGGGGCGCCAGAGTTGACTAGAATGCGTCCGAGACAGGCCGACGGAGGATGGGCAAGAGGGACGGCACGGAGAGGAAGGAGGTAACTTGAGAGTGAGTCAAAAGGACGGAGAGATGCGCATGTCCACGGAGATGAGTAGAAGACGCGGCAGGCGCAGAGGGACGACCAGAAGGAGGGGTGAGGAAGCGCAGACGGGGAGACGAGCAGCTCGAGGAAGTTGAACGTAGGATGTCGTCGAGACGCGTTGAATTGAACGGCGGGTAGCAGTGGGTTTATACGGAAGGCTAGTGATAATGCTAGAGGCCCAGAGAGCTGCCTACGCACTCGCAGGAGACGAGCAGTGAAGGGAAGGGGGAGACGATGAGAAGCTCCTGTCGGAGTTTGAATAACAATAGAACCGTTAACGGCGACTACCGGACCGGGTCTCGATCCTTCCCGCCGTGGTGGTTCGTCCGCGTCAACGACCAAGGCCTGCCCCTTCTCGAGGAACGACTGAGGGGACAGAACGACTGGAATACACAGGGAACGATTCACTGGCACTACAACCACCACCACCACCCATCCCGCGATGCCGAGTTCATCTTTGAAATTTGAAATTTGACCCACCACCCTTTCGCTCATCCCTACCAGACGAAGTTCCCTACCAAAGTCGGCCGCACGCTCCATCATCTCGCTCACCTAGTCACCATCTTCTTACCTCGTCCCCCCTCTACCATGCCCCCCAGGCTCACGCAGTGCCATCGAAGTGAGAATCAGCTAGCAGAAGATTCATCATTGCCCCAACAGCAACTACCCCGGATGGATTTCGTCATCCTGCCACTTAGACTGTTGCCTACACTCTCAACGACACCCTGCCCTCTACTTCAACATGGTTCATCAACGACCTCCTAGTTTCCGATTCTCTGCACCACATACACTCAAGCCTATCCCCACTTAGTCCATTCTCTCGTCGAGTCTGGAGGAGGATTCAACGCAACTGTTGCCCTTTCTATCGGCATCAACTTTATCAATCATTGGCCCCGTCTTCACCTCGCTCGACGCCTTTATCCACAACTATATACTACACAAACGACGACTCGGAACGTACACCATCCAGCATCGAGTCTCTCGGACGCCGTTGTCCTACACCCGACCATTATTCCGCAACCGCTACATCCCACTCTTCCTCTAAAATTGCCCCCTATCACAGCCGGTTTTGCGCTTTCGCGACAAGATTGGATTGTCGGGAATGATTTTTGCAATCGAGTGTCGTGTGGCCAGGTGAGCCGTCTTCCTCCTCTTTTGTCTCCCATCCCTCACTCAGCCAAATTTCGATTTCGAACATAGAACCTGTCTGTCATTGTCGTCACCGTTCGATCCCGCTCTCGGGCTGGAAACGATGCCTGTTCGGACCACTATTTCCGACATTGTCGGCCTACACTTCTAACGGTGCGGCCAGCACCATGCCACAATGCGACGCTCGCCGGCACAACCACTCGACAGAGCATCACGAGTCCTGGACCTCCTCTTTCGCATCCAAGGCCTCAATGGTAATTGCCAGCCAACGTTAAACTGAAAGTCAAGGTTCTGACAAAGGCAACTGGCTGCATGCGGCAGAAGGGGGATTATATGAGAAACCGCAGGCCTTGAGAAGAGCCGGCCACGTCTCTACCAGTTCGTTTTATTTCTCAACTAGATGTTCGGAGGAAGCGACACCAAGCGCGGAGTGCTCGAACCACGCCGGACAGATTGGACAATCAAAGGCTTGACAGCACACCGTGGCTATGCGAGGGTGAGAGGTCGCCGCACATTGCTTTCTCCCCACCGTCCCAGTTACCTCGTCCTCGGACTTTTCTCCTCATTAAGTCGCTACGACCCATCTGGAAGTCCCTGTTGGCGGCCTACTCGAATCCACCCACCTCCAGTCGCTCGACGGCCTGCCTGATCCCTCCTCGCCCAGTCCCTATCTCTCTTGACATCCTTTGTCGACACGCGACCCCGCCTGCGTCTACCTACGCCTTGTCCAGTTCAACTCGTTGACATCAACCCGATTGCATCTGCACCGATGGCTTCTAGACCTCGTACCCTCCATTGCAGGAATCATGTGCAATATAAGAGAGGGGTTTGACTCCATCACTCCCAATGCGATGTCATCGGCAGTTTCTGCGTCGTAGGTGGACTTCTTGTTCTCTTCGGGATACGTACACTGATATACCTCGCCTCTTTCGAACGACAATTAGAGAGATCCCAGAGGTTTCCTGAAAGCCAGCTAGTTTCTCCGACTGTCACAGCCTATTCCGCTGCATGGAAGCGATGCAATTGGGGGGGCTAAAGTTAACAATGTCGATGGAGGCGAAGCCTAGACTCTTGGCTCTGTACCGTGGTACCCCTGAGACCACGTTCTCTGAGAGGCTTTGCAGCCCGATATCTGGTGGGTACCTTCATTTCGCTTTTCGCTCGTGGTGGCACCTATTGCAATGAGAATTTATACCATCTCCTGATAGCTTCCGCCTTGTATCTGGAGAAGATTCCGTAGAAATCGTCGAAGGAACATCGTCTCGTCCGGCACCTCCATCGATTGAAAGCTTGGATGATAGATCACAGCATGAACACCGCTTTGAAGCTCCTCGCCGTAGGCTGCAGGCACACAACCCGATTACAACGTCAGCATTTGTCAGGTTTACAGCATTGGCTCCCATTTCATGAGTAAAATTGGCCCACTAGTCTACCTTTGTGCGGGGTGTTGAAGCTTCATTGCACCGCCTGCATGCAGGAGGTGAAAGGGGCTGTTCGTCCTCGAGAACATAATTTGCCAAGTGATATTAGGATTCTTCGGCAAGCCGCATTTCACTTACTTGTGCAACATATGGCCCAGACTATAAAATGCGCACAGCATCAGAAGCACACATCTAGGCGGTGAAGGCGCTCCCAAGCCCATTGTCTGTTCCTCTTCAAGTCCCCCATAGATATATGTCTAGATGTTTACCGAGAGGCGACGACCACCTACCACTTCGTCTGCACAAGAGTCGTTAACGATCGCAGGAGCACCCTCCACAATGCTATCAGGACGGAGGCTGTCATCTCAACCCACCTCGCGGTGTGTATTCCAGTACAAACGAAAGATGTGTCACTGAACTATGTGATTAGACCACTTCGTCGGTCTGGACAGAGCTTGTTTGCGTCAGCTACCAATACCAGAGTGATCAACAGCGGCCTCAGTACTACACAGGGTCCTCGCACAAACTTGACCATTAATGTTACCAATGGTAATTTCTTCAACGGAATGTCTCTTACATGATTAAACTGTTGCTCAGGAGAGATTGAACGCCCTTCCATCGACAGAGCTCATCAAACCGCCGACCAATCATTTCGCATTGACTCACCGCAGGCCTCTCAGGGAAACACGGCCTCTCTGGGTAACAGTGCATGGTCGCCTCCTGTGGTTCAGAATGAAAGTAGTGCCGAGATTTATGCTCGACAAATGACTTCAAGGGCTCGAGGCTTTCCCCTGTGGAACTCAGGTCCTAACAACAATCTACCCGTGGAGTATCGACGTACCGGGGTTAGGCTCGGTGATGTAGGAATAATTACCTCGTGGGGAAGCTTCTCCTTTCTTTTCAACATATTCGTACCAGCAGATGATCCTGTGAATGCTGGCCGAGTACCTGAAGGTTTCATCCCATTGCCCTTCTCCATCCACGCGATAGATGTCGACAAGCGCTCCGAGTTCGGCCCAAAAAGTTATATTGCAAGTGGTACAAGCTCGGTTAATATGTCGGAGTCGGACTCAGCATCGTACGTGGTTGGTTTCCTGTCACCGCGATTAAACTTACAAAATTTGACCTTACAGTGTGCTTACTTTCAAAATGTCCACACCGGAAGGCGCTGTCCTTGCCATGCCAGAGGGCGCCATATCAGAGACCATCGAAAGCGTCGACTCGATTAGAAAATATGTCGAGGCTAACATCCTGAATTGGTATCAATACGCCAATGGTGTCCGCGGCCGCGGCGCAAGAAATGGTGATATCCGTGTCGTGCTAGGGCATGATAAGTCTAACTCCTGCGGAATGGCGATCACGACCAATGCAACACCAGAGGTGGATTGTAGTCTCAAGTTCAGCGACCTTCATGAACGCCGCTCAATACCGACATATACTTGGGAACACTCTGGTTTGACCGACGTTAGAACAGGACTTACACAGCGAGAGGTGGAGGAAATACGAAACGGTGACGCTTCGCCCCCGGAAAACGGAAAATATGTGAATCAGTGCCTCTTCATCCGAGCCCTTAATCCAACACTCGCAAACAATGTCTGGGCGCAACTCTGTGATGAACTCCACACCCCTCATCTTTTACCCCTCACTGAACACGACGCAAAGACGGAAGACAGCCCCAGATTTTCTTCGATTGGTGGGTCATCACCCGGAGGCACAAATGCGAATTTTCCGCCAGGCAGATCGCAATGTGGTGGACGAAAGGTGAGCCGCATGACGGGAAGTTCCAGCGAGCTTGGCAAACTCCTACTTTTAGACAGCAAATACTACCGTGGCAACATCTATGGTAAATTCACTACACAGTCTTGTACGACTTGACTAATATGCTTCCTTTCTCTCTCTTAGGCCTTTCACCCATCTACCGTTATCAACAGTATGTTGTTAGAGAAGGTCCAACTTCTTCCTCCTGTGATACGCGCGAGACACTGAGACTCGCTCTTTATAAGTTCCCTGACGCCAAGATGGCCATAACAGAAGACTCGAACTGGATGGCAATCTTGAAGGTTAGTCAAAAACACCAGATATCTGTGAAAATTCATATCTTGTCCCGTAGATAGGTGAAGTCATCCAGTGGAATGAAGCATTCTGCCGACAGGTTTTGGAGGCTCATCAGGTTGATGAAGACAACGGTTTGAACCATTTATAGCTGAAACAACTTGTTCACGAAATAACGTACTTGTCCCCAGGTGTTTTATTCCTCCGGAAAACGGATCTTATAACATCAACGAATGACGAATTGTCACGGCTGCAAAATGATGGCTGTGTGGAGCAATCCAGCCAGGAATACGACCTCAATTCGGTGCTTGGTGGCATGATGGCCCTTGCCCAACAGTCTGAGGCCCAACAGTCTCAACTGAATATGCCTTTGTGTAAACCCGCACTTTCCGAAGCATCAGCGCCTGTTGCGCAGCACAAAGGTATACGGCGAGCGCTCCTGATCAGTATAGAAAATGTTTGCAACAGTGATTCGCTTCATTTGAGGGGTTCCCACGAGGATGCTAAGCGATTGGGCGCTTTACTTCAAGGTGAATATACGCAATGTAGACCAACGATAAGCATTCTAAGGATAATTCCCCATTTTCGCAGAAAAATATCAATATTCGCCCCGGGATATTACATATCTCCTCGATTCCCCAGGTTACGAGCATCCTACGAGAGGCAATATAGTACGAGGGTTTAAATAGGTCAATAATCCCGCTCTGACCTTTCCTTCCTCAGATCAAGCATGCAGCCTTGCTGGTCGCAGACGCGAAGGCACACGATCAATTTTTCTTCCACTGTGCGTCCATCCCTCTTCTGCGTGCTGAAGTACATTCTAACACACTGCTGATAGGCTCGGGACTCTCAGACCAATCTTATCGTGAAGATTCTACACCTCCCTGCGAAGAAATAGACGGGGGGGATGAATGTAAGCGTCTCTCTATATTTGCAGATAAATTTGCTCTGGAACACGTATCTCTTTTGACAGGTACCCTTGCCTCAGGAAGTGATGTGACGCAGGAACTTCAAGAACTGCTGGTAAACAGTCTACCGCCTGGAGCCTCATTGATGGTGCGCTACGCTTGACTTCACATCTGTGTGAACACGGTAGGGCTTACATAATCCATTCAAAAGGCTGTCTTTGATTCTTGTCACTCGGGAACCCTGTTGGACCTCCCACATTACCGCTGTAACAGGGTGTACCTGCCGTTTGTGAACCAAGGTGTTCACAAGACTAGATCTCGGTGGGCTCGTCAAATGCCCTCGCCGAAAGCAGACTCGGATCGAGTCGCTTATCCAAACAACGGAATTATGGCTTCCACGTACATGCCACATCTACACAGTGCTGCTTGGAAGTGGTTTAGCTCGTTCAGCAATGCTCGAGTCAATCTACCTACGCACCAACAACCACTATCTGAGGCCCGAGACAAAAATCCGACAGCTGCAACCGTGGAATCGACTCAGGAGCTCTCTGTTGACACACAGGGGGCTCAATGGTGTGATAGTGCTCCGATGTACAACTCCCCAGACCCAAATTTCCAATGCAATGGGTTCGATTGTAGGTCAAGGACGTACCCGCATACGGCGAACGTGGTAAGTGATCGAGGATGTAGCAGTTTGCCCTTCCTCGACAGCTGACAGAGCGGTAGATATCCATTTCCTCATCAGTGGATGATCAGCCCACTTGGGAAGAAAAGGATGGGAGCTCAATGACAATGGTACGTCTTGTTTGTCTTGTGTTCCGTTGTTTTCGATGCTCATTGACCCCTCAAGGCCCTGATTGAATTCTTATGTGGGTCTGAAACACCATGGCAAATTCTCCCTTGACATAGATTTTTTTCAGCAACCGAGAATCCCCACCCTAAGCTGACAGATCTCCTCTCTAATCTCTCGTGAGTTGTCTAGCTCTGGGGCAACCGTTTTGGCTCATATTGGTCGTAGATTCACTCTACACGCGCATGCCATGAAGTTACGTGATCAGGCAGCGGTCAACTTCCGCTCTAAGATGAAAAAATTAAATGGGAGACGTTTCAAGAAGGACAAGGAGCCTTTGAATGCTCAGTCAAATTTCTCCCTGGAGAGGATCAACTTCCAGATCCCTGAGGTGAATACTTCGTGCTATTACCACTGCATGACCTAACTCTCTCTTTATCCAGCTCTCGAGTCTACAGCCTCTGGTGAGTATTTTCAATTCTCTAAGACGTCAAGCCACTTGTACTAACGGCTCGTTCGAGGCCCTTGATCAACTTTGGGATCCTTGAGATACATCCAGTCCCCACAAGAGTTTGTCTTTGGCGGTCTGTGTGTTGTCTTGAACCATGTAAATTTCCAGAAAAAAAAAGTCCGACTTGTTTAGACTAGACGACCAAGTAGGGACGAAGCCGCTTTTCGAAATATTACTGAGAAGATGGAATGAAGATGACGAACTAACGCTGAAAGCGATATACAATGCAAGGACAGGACGAGGCCAAAAGAGGCCAAAAGAGGTGATCTTTCGAGTTTCTCGTCCACGCATCATCACGGTGTACCGTCAAACTTTCGTTGTCGTTCTGGGCCCTCTTTTATTCGAGGGTTCTGAGCACTTGTTGTGACATATTTCTCTCTACGAAAATTTAGCGAGCGAGCGATGACGCGAAGGCCTTGGATTTGAGCTCAAGACAATGAAGATGTATTCGCCGGAAGCGACGCCTAGAAGAGCGGCGGGAAAAGAGCACGACCCGAGCAGAATGTTCGCTGTATGCGCCGCAGAATGTAAGCGTCAGGGAAAAGAGGAAGCGTTAGACCGGTGGTTCGATCGTAATGAGAGACTGAAGTCGGCAGGCGTACAGACCGAATCTCCGTCTGGGGGTAGTGGATGCTTATGACGCTCTGCGCGGTAAGGATTTTGACAAGCCTCGGATGTGAGGATAGTGTAAGCTGAGGACGAGGAAGTAGGATAGAGGTTGTCACTGGATGCGCAATGCCAGCATGTGCGTGTAATATTCGGCTTGAGATGGCAGACACAGAAGCTCAGAGAGCTCTAGAGATGAAGAGCCTCGGATTCGAACCCGTTGGCCTTGAGTTATTCGTGTCAATCCGGTGGCGGTGACAGAAAATCCCTGAGCAAGTGTCTGCGCAGGGAGGGGTTTGAAAACCGTACGATACATTGAGGCTGAGGTGCGAGAAGGAGCAGGAGGCGAGGTTGCGTTCGAAGTTGTGGGAATGATGCAACAGCGCATATATAGAGGGAGATGAGGGGCAGGAATCATGATGTGTCCGGACGGGATTCCGAGCGCTTGAAGAAGCGCCGGTGGAGAAATGTAAATTAGATCGGAGTGGTGTTGAAAAAGAACGTCGTTGAGTCGTGGCTCATGTCCAAGAAGATTTTGTCGCAGGTCACGACAATGTCAACTTCTTCCAACACGGAGCTCCATACGCGGCTGCTGGAGACAGTCTTCGCTGTCCATGGTTCGAAGACTTTTCGGCCATTTGAAATTGAGGTTTGAAATAAGATGGACGAATGGGGAGCGGCGACAAAACTTCAAAGCGCGGAATTCGGATTGAAGCAGTTGGAGATCTATAATATTAAACAGAAGTGGTTCTCACGCTCAAGCAAAAGGAGCCTTCTGATTGGCTGAGACATACAAGCAAATCCTGCAATCTGATTGGCTGCTCAAATCCTTCTCTAACGTCGAGGTCGACTCACCTCTTCCACAACACTTCGTGCGTGCGCTAACATAGATTTTTCTAATTTCACGACAATGAAGGCAAAGAACACGGTGTCTGAGATCTTTCAAGGCCTACTACACCTCTACACCTCTCAAAAACTGGTGCTGTTGCCTCCGGAGCCCTGGGATTGCCCACTCCTGAAACTCGCACTCGGTGTTACCCCCTAATAATGGTGTTTGCAGGCCACGACTAGGAGAGAAGCGGTTCAGGTGCGCTTGCTGCCTCAGATTTTCGTGAATATTCGATCAATTTTGGCAGGGGTCCGCCCCGATGCAGTTACATCACCAATGCAATGACATGCGATGTATTGCTCTACTTCATTTAGTGGGGTTGGTGACTATCCATGTAGGTACATTGCTGTTTGTCCTGCTTCTGCTACTGATAGGCGCAAACCAGGTCTGAGGACGCTCTCACTACCCCTCAAAAGCAGCAGCAGAAAGCCCACCAGGCTCTGCGAGAGCTCGCTCAAAATCAGAGCCCATGCCGCCGCCACCTCCCTGCTGCTCGACCAGAAACTCCAACTCCCCCAGCAGCTGCACGTGTTCAAAGGACGGCAACACGGTTGTCCAGTTGGACTGCTTGGGAAAGCGAGCTACTTGCCTCTCCAAGACGCCGACGCGTACAGAACAATGGAGATGAAAATCGAGCTCCACATGCCTCTAGCTCGACATCGGTCACGTCGAATCGCAGGACAATGGTGAGTTGTCGTTAACATGCTATACATATGTGCAATATCCTGAATCTATGAATAATTAGATGTGCCCTCGCCTTGCACCTCTCACTCCACTGCTGACACCACAACCACCTACTGCCCAGCCAAATGCCTGATCTCTTGCCCAAAAAAGACGCAGAGCTCGCGAGTGCGAAGCACGTCAGAGTGCCACCTTCAACTGTCCCGCCAACCCATCCTGCACCGATCTTGCCATCCCAGGAACCTGATCGCCCACACGTCCATACGAGGATCCATGGAGAGGTGCGACTACCTCCCAGTAGAAGATCACTGGCTGCACAACAACGTCAGGAGTGCGAACACTCTGCAACACCTGGCCCATCATCATGACCTCGACGAATGTGGATCTCTACAGCTTCAACTCTTCCACCCCCTCCCAACCATGATACCAACCAAATGTTTCAGGAACCCCTAATCAACAAAATTGACGAGTGCCAGAGCAGGAAGTGACTCCTCGGCAGGGAGTAGATGATGCACTCAGGCATTCAGGTGAGAATTTGGGTTTTCTTTGTGTCTTATGTTGTAAACCCATCTTATGAATGCAGATGATAAGATTGCAGAAACAGAGGGTGAGGACATGGTTGAGTTTGTCCATGAAGAATTGCACCAAAATAGAGGTACGAAGTTGTTAGCCCCTTTTTCTTGATATTCTTTGGCTAACCTTTCAACTAGAGGAAGGTACCAAAGGCAATGGTGTACAATCTGTGGGAGAGCATGAGGCCCAAGGTACGTTGCTGAAGGTTGATATCTTCCCATTCCAAACTAATTTTGCATGCTCAGGTGTTCAGAGGCGCTCCTTCCTTCAGTCTCCCTGTAGATTACCTCCTGACGTGTGAAATCAGCCTCCACTACCCCCGCAAAGCGAAAGGGAGTTCGCTTTGATTAAGTACAACAACGACAACTGGCCTAGCCTGAAGGGTCAACCAATTTCATGTTCATGGCTACCCCGAGCACACCAAAGAAGTAATTATAAATTATCTACGGATTTCACCGTGCAGCCGCACGGGTATCTGCTAGTATGACATAATCGCCTAGCGAAGGGGCGAGTGAGGCGGGGGAGGTGTTCCAGGTGAGACCAACGAAGGAGCGACAAAGGGGAAGGTGACTTGACGATTGCAACAGTTTTGCAGGCCAGAGAGTTGGCTTGTCTATGGAGCTGAACAAGGAGGGTAGGGACACGGGAAGCGTAGATGGTGGGTGCTAGAGGTGAGAAAAAGCGGCGCCAATCCCAGAACTTCGAGGAGGGTCTCGTAGCGTTGCCGGCGTTGCTCCAAAAGCTAACTTGGCTTTCATTGCCTCGTTCCCAGACGTTGCAGTGATGATTCCTTCTTCGAGCTTCAGCGGTCTTTTGGGGGTAGCAGTTCTTGGTCGACAATGGATCACATTACTGTGTCGGCTTTGTCGGGGCGACAGAGTGCACTGGAGTATCCGTCAGGCATACTCTAGGCCGACGGAGGGGCAGGAGGGACGGCACGGAGCGGAAGGAGGCGACTTGAGAGTGAGTCGAAAGGCCGGAGAGAGGAGGGTTGAACGTTGAACGTTGAGCAGCAAGACCAGAAGGACCGGAGGGGTGAGGAAGCGGAGACGGGGAGACAAGTGAGTTACGCAGCGGGTAGCAGCGCATCTCTGAGGAATGCTGAGACAACAGAGGACCAGAGAGCAGTGCACGCACTCGCAGGAGACGAGCAGTGAAGGGAAGGGGGAGACGATGAGAAGCTCCTGTCGGAGTTTGAATAAAATAGAACCGGTAGCGGCGACTACCGGACCGGGTCTCGATCCTTCCTCCCACCAACATCAAGCTTCGCGAAAGGAGCAGAAGGACTTGAATTCAAGAGCGGACTCACAGGCTCCAGCCGCCTCTACCCGCAACACCGAGTTCACCATCTTGGATCGAACCCTCACGCGCACCCTCGTGCTCATAGGCTTCTCATCATCCTCCTTCGCTCAGCTTTCTCTCTCACTCTCAATCAAATCCCTTCTCGAAGACAGACGCGCTTGCAAGGAGAAGAACGATTCGCGCGTAAACACCCCTCAATGACCACAAAGCAAGAAATGTTCGTTGAAAGATTGCGGCGCAATGCGTCTTCATTACGCGGTTCAACTAGGGTCCGAATGATTTGACTATGAATAGACGATGAGTCGAAAAGACGAGATACACTTCAAAGCGTCATACTGAATGTGAGCATCCGTTATCTTGCTATATGGGCGCCAGGAAGAAATCAGTGGATTCATTGAACGCCTCGTGACTATGGAGAATCTGGCGATGGACGAATCAGTTCAGTTCTTCAAGTCGGAGAACCACTCAGCATACCCAATGAGCGAGAATGGCAGAGATCAAGGAAACCCCCTCCTGGGAGGGGCGTGTCGTAAAACGTTCATAGTTGTTGATCTCAGCAGATCGAACATAGGTAGCGGTTCCGTCGCCCTGCAGGGTAAGGATGAGGAATATCCAACTGCGTCCATCCGTCACAACACCCTTGACAATCTTTTTCCTGAAAATTGGCAGTGAGACAGGTGAGGGCACGAATTCCGAGGAAATACTAATTTACCCCGCACGTCTTGCGCATCCAAGCATCTCTGCGACTGCCTGGGGAATGTGCTTTTTGAGGTCGATACTTACATCCTTGGCTTCCGAGACAAACAACACCGAATCATTAGGCCGCAAGACAGGTCGCTCTAAGAAAGAGCCTGCGGAAAACTGAGACAAGCCTACACGGAAGAGAAGGTGAACGCACCCAACTGTGCCGGGACCATCACTGCGGCTGTAAAATCAATGAAGCCGGACAATCTGTGCGGGCTCTTGTGGACAACTTGTTCAATGCTTAAAGCCATCTTCAAATGTTCCGGAATCATGGCAGAGACACGGTAAAAGAATGCGTTGATCCAGAGACGTGTTGCGGCCACATTCTAAAGGAAGAGATACAGTGAGCTTATGACCGGCGTATCGGTGATGAAATTTTGAAGCAAACACATCGCGGAACAAGTTCTTCAAGAAAACGAAGATGGGCAAGGAGAGTGGTCGCGGACCAGAGCTTATCGGTTCCAAGATTGTCCGTCAAGGCCCCACGGCCAGGGGCATCGCCCTTCAGCGCGAGTGTGCCGCTAAATTGTATCTTCAAGTCTTCAAGAAGTTCCCCCGAGAAGGAATATGACTGGCTCACTGGGTCGGTTAGATGCATCCAGAAGGTCACTTGCACGAACCTGTGGGCTGGCAGCTCTTGCTTGCAGGACTGCCATCAGTTCTTCGATCTGTGTAAGGACCGCCTCCTCAACCAACTCCAACTCCGGGTCCTGCTGCATCGCATTCATATTCAATTCTTGTCGTGCTTTTTCCGCCAGCTTCTTGAGGGCGGCCAGGGCTATCGCCAACTCTATGCCTGTCAAGCCAGACGTGCGTTTTCGTTTCGTTGGTTGCATTGGTGAAAGGCGAGGATGTGGCTGTTGATGAGAGATGTTGGAGGAAGGATCGAGACCCGGTCCGGTCGCCACCACCCCCCGTCTCTCCCTGCGCCTGCCGCGTCCTCTACTCATCTCCGCGAACATGCCCTCCTCTCTCCGTCCTTTCGACTCACTCTCAAGTCGCCACCTTCCGCTCCGTGCCGTCCCTCTGGCCCATCCTCCGCATTCCAGTGAATTTCATGCCATTTATGCCCGACCGGGAACTCTCCATAACCGAAACAGGAATTGTCGGGTGGAGCGCCTGGGCAAGAGTCAGTAGAAGCGAGTTTGGTTTTTGGGCCGCCAGACCCTCCTCGATGCTCTGAGCTCGAGAGCGGCGCCCCCTCTTTTTACTTTCAGCCTCCCTCTTCGCCTACAGTCACATACCTCTTCTTACCTTACGGCGTTTCAACTGTACAACTCCCGATCTCGATCAGCACGTCCAACGCTCTCCTCCCTCATGCGTTCTTAGATCCTTACTCCACTCTTCACACCATTTTACCCTCTGCTTCCCATCTCCTACGAGTGCATACACCGCAGCCTTCCGCAGATATCCTCTGTCACTCGCCTTCTGACTGTCCGCCTCTCGACAACGCCCTGCGCCGATTCGAGCCTCAAGCTCACCCGTCCTGTTCAACCAGGACCGCCATCCGATCCTAGGCCTAATCCCTCGTCTCCCCTTCCTCACCCCCCTTTCCTGCCGTCCTTCTGCATCTGCAGCTGCCGCCTACCCACGGACATGCACATCCACTGCCTCCCCCATCCTCTTTCTTTCCTTTCGATTCACTATCAATCACAAGTCACCTTTGTCCGCTCCATGCCGTCCCTCCGACCTCCACCCGTCGGCCTGTACCCGGACACAATCCAGTGAACTCCGTCGCCGGGCAAAGGCGATACGCTGGCCCTCGTATTGCGACTCCTGGTCCAGGAACCCTCGAAGGTATCAAGGAGAAGGAATTGGAAAGGTGGTCATTGGCGACGCTGCGAGACCCTCCTCAAAGCTATCCTCGCTAGATGACCATATTTCCAGCTACCTTTGTCCTTCCTGCCGCCTCAACCTCAGTCACGGTTTGCAGCTCCCAGGTTTCATCCTGGCTGCCGATCCATTCATACTATCACAAACCTCGATCCCCATCCGCAGCGACGAAGGATCTTTGGACCATCTACAGCGAATAAGTATTGTCTTTCAGGAGGGTGAGACGATGACGCGTGCGGTCGCGTTTGGTAGATCTTAAGAACACGAGGTGGGTTGCCAGTGGGTTGGATTCGATGAGTGCGAGGTAGACATAATGGATTAGGTCAGTGCACTTGGGCTCTTTTACTCCTTTGCTCAAGAAGGAGCGAGCTTGGAGACCCTTGGTTCCTTCGCTCGAGAGTCGAGAAGAAGTGGGCTTGTTGGTAGGAGGAAAGATGGCGACCTGGTCGGATGGTCACCGGTATTCCATTTTGAGAGTATCTGAGCTCCTCTCGACGACGTCGACGATGCTCACCCTCTTCCCCGCGCTGCCCTGTCGACGTCTCCTGTGAACGCGTACTATTATCTCAGCCTTCAGCTAGCTTCAGCGCTCAGCTGCTGCGGACTCCCTCGCACCAGCCGCTTTACTCCATGTCATCGCGCCTCGACGACACCCTGCGTCCAGCTCCCCATGCTTGCCCGTCCTCTCAACGCCGATGGGCCGTCCCCATTCCCCCGTCCCACGCCACTCCTCCCCGTCCGCCTTCCTCGCTGAAGCGTCCTTCAGAATAGTTCAAATCGTCGAATCACCCTCCGATGCTACTCCTTCGTCGGTCTCTCCTCAGACGAATTCTAGTTAACGAGAGACATACAAATCGCGAAGATGACCTTGGAACGAGTCTGACAACGCCGCAAGGCCTTCCTTACAACTATAGGACTGTCATCATTGACCCTTTTTGTTGCCCCTCTCAATCCTCCCCTTTCCTCTCCCTCCCGACGCGGCATACCTAGCCTCCTTTATCCTTCCCCCTCAGGATGTGTCCACCTCAAGTCCATTCTTTGAAGAATCGTCGTTGCTGCCATTCCGCCGTAATATTAACGCTCAGGTCCTCGAACAGAATTCCCCTGGGCTTGGGACGTTCTCCCCGAATTCCTGCCACCCCTTCTGCTTTGTCCCCCCCACTCTACATGCGCCACCATATCGATATCCTTGCAGCGACCCCAAACCCGGATTTTCGTCCTACGTCTAGTGCCGGCTCTGACACCACCTATCATCCTGCTCACCCTTCATTTCTTTGAAGATATTTCACCTTAATCTTGTTGTTTTCGCCTTCGCATATGATTCTAGATGACGCCGCGAACCGAGCGCAGCAGGATAGCTGGGAGGAGACTCGACGATGGGTACATGGATTCATGCGGCCAGAGGACGAACCGGAGCGTCGAACGGTCGACCTCATCCGCGCCATGTATATCGCCATTCCGGCGCGCTCGAGTTTCTCCCTTGACCCTTTCACCTTGCGTCATTGACGCCCTTTCCTCTTTATATCTATGTCACAGACAATGCTGGGCCTACAGAGGCCGCGAACGTATTGCCTTGTCTATCCGGCCAACCTCAACCTCGTCCTTCGGATCTTCAACCATTCGATGTCTTCGTTCTCATTGAAAACGATAAGACAAAGGCATTTCCTCCTCAGATACCTGCAGCCTACGTTTCCGTTCCTTTGGACGATACTTGCTTCCGCGTCGCTATATCCTGCTTCGTGCCCGAGTTTAAGACACGCCGAGATTCTACAGAAGTAAAAATTCGAACACTTGTATAGGACGCAGCGTGATAGTGAGATAGAGTAGGGGACAGCGAAATGGAATAGATAATGATGACTGAAGCCCAAATTTCCTAAGGTTCCGTAGGATATGACAGAGAACTAGGCAAAGTATGCTAAAATGCACATCACTGCGCAAATCACGACGGTATGTGTTCCGAGTATGTAAAGGACTAGTATTGCGAGCACCCTCCAAACGCCCTTATGCCATACACCCACGAGCGGAGCATTGTGTGATTTGGTGGAATCGGAGTCGCCGACGCTCGAAGACCTCTGGGCCTCAAAACTTCGATCGTCAGCGTGTCGGCATTCCTCTTTCTCTTGGTTGTTGTCGTCGTCAGTTTGGGACTGTTCACGAAGAAGGCGGTATCAGTACGTTTCTCTGGTCGCTTTAAAATAGATTACCTCTCTGCTCGAGGTCTTGCACATCAGTGGTTTTGACACCATGGAAGTCTCTTCATCGGAAGACATTGCTTGATTTGGACGCGTTTCTGGGTCTTCATTTTTGCCCATGATCTCATCCTGCTCGCTGCCGTTGTTGACGAGGAGCGATTCCTTGTTGACAACCCCATCGTCCACAGCAATTCTTTTCTCGAGCTCTACATGCTATTGAGAATCAACAAATACATGTTAGAGAAATCCTTGAGTGCGATGATGCCTCTCACAAATAAACTGCATCGCTAAATCAAACAAGGACGTCAATTTAATATTCTCAATACAGATGAATATGCTTACTGAAAGGTATGTGGCTATGGCTTCCCTCGCCTTGAGCCCCGCGGGCGAAACAGGGCTGCTATCGATGTCATCAGTAGTAAGTGCCTTATTGCCCAATCTCAAGTTCATTGGAAGAGGGTGATTTTGGCGTGACTTCGTAATTGAAAGCTTCCAAACGACTCACTCGGTTGCGACCAATTGTAGGAGCTTGGCCAAATTGTCGTGGACGTTGGCTTTCTGGAGAAGATGGGGAAGATAATTAAATGCTCTGTCAGAATCCCGATCCCATATGATCGGGGTGCGATATTCGCCTTCACCCACGACGGGAGAGACAGAATCACTTTTAAAAACTATGATCAGCAAGTTGATCAAGACAGAATACCCTCACTTACAGATTTAAAATGAGGCAGGACACTATGCATTCCGCAGCTGTCCCAAAGTCCTCGGCAGTCAGGAGATCGGTGACAAATGGGACATACACTTC